ACTCGTAAAGCTCATGTCAACCGCATACCACATACGACTTGCAACTAATGTGAATTAACCAGATGTTCTTAATTTTTTCTGCGCTGACTAATAATTTACGCGTGGTGTGTGTGTGTACGTAGCTTGCTGAATGCAAGTTTCTTTATTCGTGACGTGCACAAAAAAGCGTTGTGGGCGCCGCACGCGAAAAAGTGTAGGTGAGCAGAAAATGCCACAAAGCGGAGATAAAATATCGCGGGGATTCGTTTCGCGGAATGATACGCAATGCCCAAGAGAGTATTATACACAATGCGTAATTTATGGCGTGCGCAAACAAGCCAACACCGCACAAAGGTATGCAAAATGCAAGCAGCCGCCATGCAAACACTATTTGACATTCGTTTGGTGTATCTCTCTAATAATAACAGATCGCATCGAATGATTAATATGTGCCATTTTGCGCCTATTTCACTTTCATGCTGATTATTTTATTGCGTTACGTCATGCTTTTGCAGATACAAGCAACCTATTAAACATTTTGCGTGTTTAATGAGTTGCCTAATTTAGAATTCGTCGCCATTTAAATTTAAGTGTGTGATTCATGGTCAGTTAATGCTGCGATTAGAGTTCTTGGGTTTTGCAGACAATTCAACAAGTCTAGAATGTCGCGTGTGGGCATCGCGACGGCGGCCATGATTATATTTTTATTAGTTGGCTGCATAAATTACGATCTTTTCGCATGGTGGTGCGGACGCGGAATGCAAAATCACACTCGTATAGACACCAAGATGGCGGCGCGATGATTTTAGCATCTGATGTTTATTATGTCGTAACACGCCGGCTTTTACAACATGCAAAAATTATCCAAATCGGCGTGTCGGCAATTGCATGCATGCCTCCACGACAAGGACGATCTCTTTTGTTTTAGAGAACAACGGATGTTGCATATTTGCAAAAAACACATGCAGATATTTGAATTTTAAGTGGCATGTAAACGAGTCGAACAAAGGCGATGTAAATTAATCGTAAAACCGGATAATACACTAGTGAAGTAGGTACATAATTATCGTCGTAAATTTTGGGCGTTAGAAGGTCAAAATCAAAATGACAATTTGTGAATATTTTATTTAATGCTGAGAAAAACAACTTTATTGAATAACTGTATTTTCAATTGTGGCTGTTGATTTGTACGTAGTTTATAATAACATAAATTGTTACAAATTCCACGTGGATTACCGTGAGTGTATAGTTTTCAGGCAGCAATTATTCGAAAAAGCTCTCGAGCGCCCCGGCGTAGTGTAGTAATGACTCAATTAAAGCGCACTTCTCGACAGCGCATCACCTCATTCAAATCGATAATGCCACTGTGTGCCACAGTCGTCTTCGTCTTCTAATCTCACATCTCTTGTGTGCGCCGGGTTGTTACAGCGCATTAGATATAAATAAATATGTGTAAATATACTCGATGTGTGCACGTAACTGGTGCATATTTCGAGATCTTAGATTCGAACTGATTCTTATAACGCAGCAGGCTTCATATTGATGCGTATTGAGTTGTTGGAAAGCCATAAAAGGTCCAAATGGGTATAAAAAGTATTCATATGTTTTAATGAAGTCGTTAAGCCGTTAGAAAACGCGTGCAGAGGTCTTAAAAAGTTACGACTTGAAACCCACAAATTAATTTCATTGATTTCAATGATAACAAACATTATAAACATATTGTATATAGGGGAGTACAAAAAAGATGCAATCAAATAGACAGAAAAATTGCTGCGCGCGCATCGTGGATTTGTTGTAAGCCCATATACAGGGCTTTAAATAAATTTGCATCCAAATCGAGATGTCATTAGAGCTGGAATTTATTTACGACTTATTGAGGAAATACCAAAGACGAAATAAATGTTTTGATCGTTTTGTCATTGCTGATTTGATGTTGGTATTATATTTAAAAGTGTGCACGCACTCGATGATTGCATTGCATTACGAATAATGATGGAACGAAAATGGAAGTTTAAGTGAACAATCATCGCGCACGGGTGATAATGACGCGACGTTCGGGTTCGCGTGGGTGAACGCTTTGTTAATGAAGTGGAAACTCAAACCGTCGCTGACCTGGCGCGCGAGCAATTTGCTTGACGTGCAAGAAGTCTTGCTTTTTTCCAACATCATCCCGCATTGAATTTTAATTGCGTATGTGCGCCGTTGTTGTCTCTCCTGTATGCAAATGGTGTCATCTGGAATATTTTACTATCCTGCCAATTATCTAATAGTCTTAAACTCGCAGCTTGCGCCCATGATGAAGTGCGAATAGTTGGGTTGTTGGTCGTTTGAGCGTGACGATAAAACGTAGGTGTTATGATTACATAAATTACGATATTAATATCTTGGTGGACGAGACGGGGGATTATACGACTTCCTGGTTGATGGCGTTCGCGCGCGCGCGCATTCCTTGCGCCACGCAACCTCATCGCTCTCTTGATTGGCAAAAAGGACACACCGGCCGACGCGCGGATTCCGTTTCGAATCGTTAAATAAAGTGGAAAACTAACTGCGATGTGTGATGCTTTTATTTTCGATTGATTACGCACGAGACGAGCGCGAGCGCACCGAGCGATTAAAAAACTTTACCGGGCATATTTCTTGCAATCGGATTAAGTTACAGGTTACACACGACTTAATTTTCGATATAAAGTGCAGCCACAAGTTGATTCGAAAATTTCTGCGATGCGCAGAAATTAATTTTCTCATTACGCATCGATTGTAGAATATAAATAAAGAAAAGTCTGCGAGCGAATCCGAGCGTGTATAATTAATCAACGTGAAAAGCAGATTTGAAATCAATCCATCTCGTCGAACGATAGTCGAAGAAGTGGATGGACGTGGATGCGATGTCGATGCGTTTTTACCAATCAGCACATTTTCTCATGCGATGCGATTCCAATTCCCAGCAAATATTAGATTATCGAGCGATTTTCGATAAATCTCGGCAGTGAATACCCACAACTGCACAACACTCTGGGGCCGTGGGTGCAACCGTTTGGAAAAACGACCGCGACGACGGGCGCGCACGGATGGACACAGCGTTACGCGCGAAGAGAGCGCCGAGATAAAACACAAACAAAATACTAGTAATAATAACGATAGAGGCAGCAAAAAGAATACGCCGAGTGGTACGTAAGACAAGAGAGAAGTTCAGTGCGCTCCAAGGACATTCAAGGACGCGAGAGCCCGGTGCGCTCGAACGCGCGAATCTTCGGCGAACGGACGGATGGACTCGCTCTCTTGGCCTTAAGAAGCGCACAACTTTATCTCACTACACACGTACACATGCGAATGAGTCTCTTTGCGACAAATAACTTAAAACACATTTTGTGTGTCATGATTCTTTTCCAACAGCGCCATCTGTTTTTGTTTCTTTAAGAAAAACATGTGAAATATGAAATATCCTGTATATTTGCTTTGCTGATCGCTTTTTAAAGTTGAAGCCCATTTGCAAGCACAGATGTTTGCTGTGCACGGTCAATAAGCACGATTTATCGAAGCCATTGACATTCACAACCAGCGCATCTGCATCAGCTACATCATCTACATTGCGACAGTACCAATTGACCGCGCAGACACATTGTATGCTTGCGCATTGCATAAATTAATACGTAGGCATTTTCAAGTGTTTTCTCGTGTTCGCTTTTCCGCCGCCGAAGTTATTAGCCAGGAGCTTAATTAATATTCGATATAACGTTACAGGTTTTTGCTACTGCGGAAAGGACGACATAAACCGCAACTATGTGTTTGCATGTGAATGTGTGTGTTGGTTGCGCACTACGAGCACGACTACACGATCAGAGTACTCCAGCAAGATAACGGAAGACGTTAATGTCACTCGTACTCTGCTCGTGATCGTTTTTATAACCTCTCCATAGAGGCGTAAGACAATGTATGCAAGTTGTGCACATTTTGAACTACATGACTAGATGGCGCTGCGCGCGTTGTTGTGTGGTCAATACACTAGCGCTCGCGCGCGATCTGCAATTTTAATCTTTCGCATTAAGAAGAAATTCCATATTCATGAAGTGACTGCTTGCTGCGCCCCGGTATTTCTTGTGCACGTCGCTTGTTGTGGATGATATTTTCCTCCTGTGAGCATGAAATGCATGATGAGCGTCGAATCGCGCACTCGGTCTCTATAATTTGCTGCGATTATTAACAACTGCAGTTACATGCGCGCGCGCGCGCGTGTTACAATGTTGTTTGCGGCGCGCACAAAAATGCGATCACACAACGCAGATGGCGTCCGTGCGCTTTTAATTCGAATGCGGCGATTAGCGCTTTTAAATTTGCGCGAATCGTTCACGCACTGTTAGAGACATCTCTCATGCCGCTGCTGCAGCGTCTTTTGAATACTTGCTTAATTATTAACGCAGGTGCTACACTTACCTAGATTTTTTGATTTTTGTTTTGGATTTTGAGCGGCGTCGATGACATCACGTTTTTAATTAGTTGTGGAATTGTTACTTAGTGTTATTGTGTAGATGACGGATGACATTAACCTTAGATTTTTGCCCATTATAAACTTTATACGGTGCACAACTTGGCAAGGAAGTAATAAATGACGCTTGAAACGTGGAAAATGATGATTATCATTACAACATGAAACGTGTAATGTATTATACTTGCATAAAGTGTGTTTGATATAGGAGGTAGCGTGGATGTCATAAACTTGACATTGAATTAAACGCCATAAAATACCACACCACGTAATTGAATGCTATAATTATTCTTTTAAGTTCAAAAGATGGCGCACATCTCTAGCATTTTTTTGACATGTCGAAGATTTGATAAAATCATATTTATTGTCACTTTAGGTGCCAACAAACTAAATGAATTCTTCAAGGTTAACCGCTACAACACTTAAGCTGTTGTCATTAATTAGCATATTTATCATAATATGCCAATAAATCAATGTATTATTTAATGTAATGTTGGATAATCCGAAAATAGTTTTTGTGTTGTTGTTGTTGCAGTAAAAGTCAATTATCCGCAACTGTACGCAGTGAAAGGAAGCAAGGACGTGTAATTAATCCCAAATGAGAGCAATCCATCTGCATCGAGGCGCCCCAACCGAAGCAAAACAAAGCAAAAGCGGACTGCAGTCGACGGCGCACACAGTAAGTAAATAACTTCCTTGTTGAAAAATGTAATTGTCGATCGCTGGCGGGTATCAAATTCCTCCTCGCTGGCGAAACCATTTAATGGTCCATAGCCTGGGTCTGGTCGTCTCTCTGCGCGATGGAATTGGAAACGGTAATATTATGCATTATTACGAGCCTCGCCCGGAGGTAATATGTGTTTTGCGGATGCGTCGTCGAAATCTGCGCGCCGCGCATGCAAATGATGACGATTTTCGTCCGGGAAAAACTAACTTTAGAAATGACCCGTCATTAGCGCGTCTATTACTTCACGTCTATTTTAAATTATGTCATATCGACGTGTTTATCGGCGAGCATCGATCATCATCCGCCACGAAAAACTGGCGTGCAATTTCGATTCAATTACGTTTTCATTGCATACAAATTAATTCTGCATGTTTCTAAAACGTTTAAAGCATTTTTATGGAATATAAATATTCTACCTATATCTATATGTTCGTCTAAATGTTCTATCACTGTAGAAAGACATATAGGAGGTTTTTTTTTTGATCCCGCAATGCTGCTTAATCGTAAACTATTCGTGTGTAAATTATTCGTACTACTTTTTTTGTGTTGGTGTTCATTGTTTGGTAAGTGATTTAATTATTTTTCTTTCGTAGATAGTTAATAAAGGATTTCTACATTTTCCAAAGTTAAAGTCATTGATTTTCTAATTACTTTCAATTTATGATAAGAATGATAAAGTTTTATCTTGAAAATGAAACATCTAGTTTTGGGTCTTTATTTCATGGATTTCCGGATTGAAATAATAATTATAGTTTGATTATCATATGATGAAGCTTTAATTATGTTAAATGCATACATGCCAGCGCCATCTTGGAAAGAATAAAAAAGCTACTCACTCTATTTCAATGCTACAGCAGCTTCGTAAGTTTACTCAGGTACTCACATCACAAACAAGTTACCGTTCGTAACGTACATACCATGCTGTAAGCGTGCTCCTTGGTTTTCTAAATCATTCCAAGATGACGCTAGGTCATGCTTATTTCTACTAAATCTGTCAGCATGACAGTAAGGTTTGTTTGGATCATTGATTGAATGCCAAGGAGTTTGCGATTTTAATCGCGCTTACTTGTAAATTAAATATAACTAAAACTCCGCAATTTTCTAGTTCAGTGGAGTGCACACGTATGGACTTTTAAATATACTATTGCTTGGTGGACTTACTAATTTCCATAACTTTGAATGGAAAACCCGCAGTGTCTTCGCTACCAAAAATGTAATGTGAAGTTTTCTACTTGCATGTTCAAGTTGAAGTTGTTGAAGAAAATGTTTATAGTCTCCATGCAATCCTGTTTTTTTTAAATGTTGTTTTGTTATAAATTATCAAAATGTCTTTTTAAGAATAATTATTTTATAATTAATTATAATAATAAGAATAATCACGGCTAGAAGTGCCTTAAAATCGCTCTGAAGATTTGACTATTTTGATGAATTTTTGAAACACGCGGTGGAAATTTGGCTGTGTCTCGCGAACCGTTCACGCGATTTGAATGATTCTTTCAAATTAGTATAGTGCGAGAGTCAATTTATACGATGCAACCTTGTCACCCCCTAAAATCACGCTGGAAGTGCCTTAAAATCGCTCTGAAACTTACTATTTTCATGAATTTTCGAAACACGCGGTGGAAATTTGGCTGTATCTCGCCAACCGTTCACGCGTTTTCCTTGATTCTTTCAAATTTACATAGCGCGAGAGTCAGTTTATACGATGCGATCTTGTCGCCCCCTAAAATCACGCTGGAAGTGCCTTAAAATCTTTCTGAAACTTTCACTATTTTCATGAATTTTCAAAACACGCGGTGGAAGTTTACCTATATCTCGCCAACCGTTCACGCGTTTTCAATGATTCTTTCAAATTTGCATAGCGCGAGAGTCAATTTATAAGATGCGGCCATGTCGCCCCCTAAAATCACGCTGGAAGTGTCTTAAAATCGCGCTGAAACTTTTACTATTTTCATGAATTTTCGAAACACGCGGTGGAAATTTGGCTGTATCTCTCCAACCGTTCACGCGTTTTCAATGATTCTTCCAAATTTGCATAGCGCGAGAGTCAATTTATTAGATGCAGCCATGTCGCCCCCTAAAATCACGCTGGAAGTGCCTTAAAATCGCTCTGAAACTTTTACTATTTTCATGAATTTTCGAAACACGCGGTGGAAATTTAGCTGTATCTCGCGAAGCGTTCGTGCGATTTCAATGATTCTTTCAAATATGCATAGCGCGAGAGTCAATTTATAAGATGCAGCCATGTCGCCCCCTAAAATCACGCTGGAAGTGCCTTAAAATCGCTCTGAAACTTTTACTATTTTCATGAATTTTCGAAACACGCGGTGGAAATTTAGCTGTATCTCGCGAACCGTTCGTGCGATTTCAATGATTCTTTCAAATATGCATAGCGCGAGAGTCAATTTATACGATGCGACCTTGTCGCCCTCTAAAATCACGCTGGAAGTGCCTTAAAATCGCTCTGAAACTTTTACTATTTTCATGAATTTTCGGAAGACGCGGTGGAAATTTAGCTGTATCTCGCGAACCGTTCGTGCGATTTCAATGATTCTTTCAAATTTGCATAGCGCGAGAGTCAATTTATAAGATGCGGCCATGTCGCCCCCTAAAATCACGCTGGAAGTGCCTTAAAATCGCGCTGAAACTTTTACTATTTTCATTAATTTTCGAAACACGCGGTGGAAATTTGGCTGTATCTTGGGAATCGTTTATGCCATTTGAATGATTCTTTCAAATATGCATAGAGCAAGAGTCATTTTATAAGATGCGCCCTTGCATCCTCCAGAAACCACGCTGGAAGTTTCTCAAAATCGTCCTCAAACTTTTACGATTTCAATGAAGTTTTAAAACACTCGGTGGCAGTTTGCCTGTATCTCACAAACCAATCACGGGATTTGAATGATTCTTTCAAATTTGCATAGCGCGAGAGTCATTTTATAAGATGCGCTGATGCAATCTCCCGAAATCACGCCGGAAGTGCTTTAAAATCGTCCTCAAACTTTTGCGATTTCAATGAAATTGTGAAACACTCGATGGAAATTTGGCTGTATCTCGCGAACCGTTTACGCGATTTGAATAATTCTTTCAAATTTGTATAGTGCGAGAGTCACTTTATAAGATGCGCCGATGCAATCTCCCGAAATCACGCCGGAAGCGCCTTAAAATCGCCCTCAAACTTTTACAATTTCAATAAATTTTTGAAACACTCGGTAAAAATTTGGTTATATCTCGCGAACCGTTCACGTGATTTGGATGATTCTTTCAAATTTGCATAGTGCGAGTGTCATTTTATAAGATGCGCCCTTACAACCTCCGGAGATTACGCCGGAAGTGCCTCAAAATTGTCCTCAAACTTTTACGATCTCAATGAAATTGTGAAATACTCAATGGAAATTTGGCTGTATCTCGCGAACCGTTCACGCGATTTGAATAATTTTTTCCAATTTGTATAGTGCGAGAGTCATTTTATAAGATGCGCTGATGCAATCTCCCGAAATCACGCTGGAAGTGCCTTGAAATGGTCCTCAAACTTTTACAATTTCAATGAATTTTTGGAATACTCGGTGAAAATTTGGCTGTAGCTCGCGAACCGTTCACGCTATTTGGATGATTCTTTCAAATTTGCATAGTGCGAGAGTCATTTTATAAGATGCGCCCTTGCAACCTCCGGAAATTAAGTCGGAAGTGCCTCAAAATCGTCCTCAAACTTTTACGATTTCAATGAAATTATGAAACACTTGCTGGAAATTTGGCTGTATCTCGCGAACCGTTCAGGCGATTTGAATAACTTTTTCAAATTTGTATAGTGCGAGAGTCATTTTATAAGATGCGCTCATGTAATCTGCCGAAATCACGCCGGAAGTGCACAAAAATCGTCCTCAAACTTTTGCAATTTTAATGAATTTTTGAAACACTCGAGGGAAATGTGGCTGTATCTCGCGAACCATTTACGCGATTTGAATAATTCTTTCAAATTTGTATAGTGCGAGAGCCATTTTATAAGATGCGCCGATACAATCTCCCGAAAACACGCCAGAAGTGCCTCAAAATCGTCCTCAAACTTTTACGATTTCAATGAAATTGTGAAACACTCGGTGGAAATTTGGCTGTATCTCGCGAACCGTTTACGTGATTTGAATAATTCTTTCAAATTTGTATAGTGCGAGAGCCATTTTATAAGATGCGCCGATACAATCTCCCGAAAACACGCCAGAAGTGCCTCAAAATCGTCCTCAAACTTTTACGATTTCAATGAAATTGTGAAACACTCGGTGGAAATTTGGCTGTATCTCGCGAACCGTTTACGTGATTTGAATGATTTTTTCAAATTTGTATAGTGCGAAAGTCACTTTATCTGATGCGCCCTTGCAACCCCCCGAAGTCGTGCCGGAAGTGCTTCAAAATCGTCTTCAAACTTTTACGATTTCAATAAATTTTTGAAACACTCTGAGGAAGTTTGGCTGTATCTCGCGAACCGTTTACGCGATTTGAATGATTTTTTCAAATTTGTATAGTGCGAAAATCATTTTATAAGATGCGCTTTAAAATCTTCCTCAAACTTTTACGATTTCAATGACGTTTTGAAACTCTCGGTGAAAATTTGGCTGTACCTCGTAAACCGTGCACGCGATTTGAAGACAGTGAATATCTTCTAAACTAAAAAAGATGGCAATCAAAGAATTGGGTGCATGATAATTTTAATCGACATTTTTTGATCGGAATATCTTCCTAACTAAAAGCGCAAGAATCCAACGAATGGCAGATAATAAACGATTGGGAAATTCTCTAAACAAAGTTTAGTACTTTCAGATTAAACTAAGTTTACTTTGTTATTTAAGTTACAGGGTCTAAGAAAACGGCTACATGGAAGAGGATTCTAAAGAAAATTTGAAAAGCCTTAACAAAAAAACATCTTTAGGATGCGTTTCATCGTGTTCTCGGGGTTCTGCCAGATTTACTTGAAAATGTAAGTAATACAAAATTTTATTCCTGGAATAGCCAATTGTATTTTAATACTGTACTTTTAGGTTTAATTGCTTACGAGAACTATTGAAGATTTGGTCCTAGCATCAAAATCCATGGATTTTTCCAGAATGAGACTTGGGACTGCAGTGGAACCGAAGGTTTTTTATTTGCATATTCTTTTTTATTTGTATAATAAAATGACTCCTTTTCTGAACATGTAATGTACACAAAAAACAGCGCCACACTAGGATTTTAAATTTAATTGTAGCAAGTACACACAACAAGGCCACATGTTATATTGCAATTACCTATACACTTTCAATGCGTCTGGCAGGATGATAGAACCGACCAAACTGTCTGGCGCGAAAGAAAACACAGTTTCATAGCTCTCTGCATAAAGTGTATCAAATTCAGCTTTCCTAATATAACGTAAGAAAAAAAGTTAAAAAATATTATAGTTTATGGGTGTCTGGCTAGGGTTGGAACCATACCAGGTGACTGGCAATGATTAGCAGCTCATATTAAAATAATGTTACGAACAAAATATGCAAAAATAGAGTTTGCTAAAATAACGAAACATAGGTCATCATTTGTTCATCTTTGTTGGCTGTTAACTGCTAAAGGAACCACGATCCAGGTTTTATAATTGGGGATCGTTCTTATCTGCGTTGGAGAAACACATTGACAAAATTTCATCTTTCCTAAAATGACGAAAGTCCGGCCGTCACGGGCTCTTGCTCTAGTAGTAGTTAGTTCAGAATAATTTTCTCTGATGTGGAATTTAATTCTGTATCATCCTGTATTTGTATTTATTGCGAGATAATACCTTACCGCGAGTTATATTGAAAGTTGTGTGTGTGCGCCGTAGTACTCGTTGCGCTAGGAATTGTAGTCTCTTTTTTGTATATCACGCGAATACGGTGTCACAATAAGTTCGGAATAATTTTCCCCGATGCAGAATTTAATTCTGCGTTTCTCTGTATTGAAATTTATTGCGAGAAAATTCCGTAACCCGCATTATATTGAAATTTGTGTGTGTGCGCCATAGTACTCGTTGCGCTACACTCATACGGTGCCCTGAACACGAGTCACTTCAACCGCTACCCTCGTACGATGCCCTGAATGGAAGTCACTTTTACGGTCACCCTCGTCACGTGATTGAAGATTATAAAACTTCCAAAAATTCTTTATAGAACAGGATAATGAAATATATTAATTACGTGAAGTAAAAGTTCAAAAATAGTTGCTAAAGGAGCTAAGATAAGAGATTTGCCTTGTTGTTCCCAGATTTTTCAATTGCGATTTTCTCCTAAACTGCCTTTTCATATAGACTGCATTCAATTCCGGATTGTAGGATACATTGGTATGTGAATAAGAGGGTACGTTCAGAATATAAAATATTTCCATTGTATTGAACTGTATCCACAACATGAATAGTTTATATTCGTAGTTTGCACTCTTGGCTCTTATCGGTGTTATTGCACAAACAACTTGTTTTTATTGCCTTGCAGCGCATCCGATGTGCTCAGCAGTGTTTGTTCCATTTCTTACTTAGTCGTTCGTGCGCTGCGGCGTAGTGTGCACGCGTTTACTTGCGCAGCGGTCTTCATGGCGACTTATCGCGTTTCTTGTGGTTTTAAGTCGGTAGTTGAATTATAATCAGTTACCAAATATCAGATTTAGAATTAACAGACAAGTGCGGCCTATAGTTAATGAGTTATTGCGAGTAGAACCAAGAATTTCACGGTTTTACAACGTACGCACCACGTGTTTTCCGTCGGCCGTCGGATATCTTCCATCGGCTAAGAAATAATCAGGCTTGTTCCGTGTATTCATTTAATTATTAATTTGAATAAACATCATTTGTGCATCGTATGGAATATTTCATCTGCAAAAACGTAAAAAAGTATGTAACATAAAAACTATATTCTATTACAATTACCAACTTTATAAGGAAAAACCATCAGAAAAATTAGTTAACACTTTAATACATAGCATAGTCGTCACATAGTTGCATATATATTAACCTTTGTAATACAAGTATTGGAATATTGTCGCGTTCCGTCGGCTGCCCATTCGCTCTCATTCGGGACTTTTTCGTGCCTTCTTTTTGCTTTTGTATTCATAATTCTGTCTGTGCAAATTTGTGTGTTTAAGAGATCTGAATTTTATATTTCTTTAAAATGTGTTTAATACATTTATAATTATTAGCAATTGTATTATTTATTATGTTTTTATTCACGTACTTATCACTTCCCCTAGGTCAGGGCTGGCCAATCCCAGGCCCGCGGGCCACGAGGTGGCCCGCCAGGACATCTGAATTTGCCCGCCGCACAAACCAAAGTTGGAACTTTTGTATATGTATAATATTTTATGTATGAATGGCCATAGTCTGTGGCCCGGTGCTGCCGCATTCTAAAAAAATTGGCCCTCCAGGAAAATCCATTGGCCAGCCTTGCCCTAGGTAAACAAGAAAACAGGTAATAAAACATTCAATTTTGATTTTGTATCACTCTGTATATAAATTTTTCTTAATGCTCTGCGAAAAATTAGCATAATTATATTGTTTTGGGGCGATTTTCTTTTTCAAGTGAAGATTTTCTTGTGACAACACTCTGCATGTAAATTTTCCTTTATGCCCAGCCAAAAATTGACAATCTTTATTGTTTTGGGGTGATTTTCTTTTTTTATTGAAGATTTTCTTTTGATAACGCCCTGTATATAATTTTCCACTGATGATATGCATAAACAGGGCGCAATTTGCTATTTTCTAGTGTTATATTTTGTAATTTGATAGCCATACATATGGCCGCTATGCAGACGATAAACATGTTTTAAAATGACGTCACGTGTTTTGTAGGTATTGAAATTGCAAATTCTAAAGTTATATTGTATTTAGTTTGTTAATAAAGAAATGTTAAAGGCAATGGCTGTGTCTTATGACTTGTGCACCCCTTCCTTTTACTATTTTCATTAATTTTCGAAACACGCGGTGGAAATTTGGCTTATCTCGCCAACCGTTCACGCGTTTTCAATGATTCTTTCAAATTTGCATAGCGCGAGAGTCAATTTATAAAATGCGGCCATGTCGCCCCCTAAAATCACGCTGGAAGTGTCTTAAAATCGCGCTGATACTTTTACTATTTTCATGAATTTTCGAAACACGCGGTGGAAATTTGGCTGTATCTCTCCAACCGTTCACGCGTTTTCAATGATTCTTCCAAATTTGCATAGCGCGAGAGTCAATTTATTAGATGCAGCCATGTCGCCCCCTAAAATCACGCTGGAAGTGCCTTAAAATCGCTCTGAAACTTTTACTATTTTCATGAATTTTTGAAACACGCGGTGGAAATTTAGCTGTATCTCGCGAACCGTTCGTGCGATTTCAATGATTCTTTCAAATATGCATAGCGCGAGAGTCAATTTATAAGATGCAGCCATGTCGCCCCCTAAAATCACGCTGGAAGTGCCTTAAAATCGCTCTGAAACTTTTACTATTTTCATGAATTTTCGAAACACGCGGTGGAAATTTGGCTGTATCTCGCCAACCGTTCACGCGTTTTCAATGATTCTTTCAAATTTGCATAGCGCGAGAGACAATTTATAAGATGCGGCCATGTCGCCCCTAAAATCACGCAGGAAGTGCCTTAAAATCACTCTGAAACTTTTACTATTTTCATGAATTTTCGAAACACGCGGTGGAAATTTAGCTGTATCTCGCGAACCGTTCGTGCGATTTCAATGATTCTTTCATATATTCCGAATAATTTTCCCAGATGCGGAATTTAATTCTTTATTTCCCTGTATGGAAATATAGTGCGAGAAAATTCCGTAACGTGAGTTATAATGATAGGTGTGTGTATACGCATATACGCAATAGTAGGTACTCGTAGTTTCGTTAGTATAACGCGCGAACCGAATGCTGAAATTAACAACTGATGTAATGAATTATTATATTTTATTTTATTTTAGTGCACTTCAAACATGTGCTATTTCAATTCTACACGCATATCGGGGTTTGTGTATAAACAAGTTTTTATCTCGCTATAAACGTGCGCAATTTTTTTTTGCCTCTCATGCTACGAACGTTCGACCACTTCAGTCTGTTCTTACCTGCACGCTGCTCGGCATCATTCTTTCATTCATTCCGATTACATTACGTTTTATTATTGATTAAAAATGAGTATTTCTAACGGCACCTAATGACAACAGACATGTAGATTGTTTTGTGTAATTAACGACTGTCCTTGGCAGGATATGCCGGGAATATTGTGTGTTAAAATTATACAGGTTCACTATCCCTCAAAACAAATTTAAATAAGTGTGCGTCATCGTGCGAGTTCTCACACACGTGTTGTTTTTTGTTTCAGTACTTTCTATGATTACCTGATGCACTGGTAAGTTTGTAAACGTTATTACATTATACTGTCATATTTATCTAAAATTGCATGTAACGTGAATACCGTAACAACATAAAATTGATGCATGCCGTCGGATGCGACTTGGATCTACCCGCAGAGTATGGTCATGTCAATTATCGGTTTAATAACGTGAAATTTTCCTTGCTTGCATTTTTATTTTTATTTCATAAATCTGCCGGCTCTTTAACGTATTTTCGTAGTTTGGCAATTAATTATTGAGAGTAATATATTTGTAAAATGTAGCAATTTTCTTCTTGTATCACCCTATGTTCTACTTTACCTTGCGTTCTAGTGTAAAACTGACTAAATTTGTCGTCTTCTACTTAAATTTTGTATTTTATTTTTAAATTTAGGAATTTCCTGTTTGTATCACCCTGTATGTTTGTTTTTCTTGATTTCCTATTATAAGTTTTCTAAATTTGTATTCCCGACTGTTTTCTTTTTTGTACTATTGATTTTCTTTTTGTGATGTTGTAATTTCCTTTTTGTAGCACCCTGTATATTTGTTTTTCTTGTTGTCAGTGAAAATTTAGCTTTAGTTGTTGTTTTTCTCTAAGAGAGTTCTCCCACTCGGGGATGATCCCCACTATAAAAATTGTTAAGGTATCCTGTATGATTTGTGTACTCCATCTTTCATTTCAGCTACAGGTCAGAATTTGTAAGAATATTTTTAAGTGTCACCTCTCTTGAGGCGACTTAAAACTTAGAAATATTTTTACAAGACCTTATAAGGATTGTCCTTATAAGGAGTTCCCTCTCTCTGGGGGTGATCCCCCACCATAAAAATTGTTGATATGCCTGATAATTTCGGGGATGAAGCGCAGAGACATCGTAGCTGTAGGTTGGGCCGGGAGCAATGGATGCATCGAAGCAGTGGGCGATCGACCAGAGCGCCGGAGGCGCTCTGGGAGATCGACCTGTGACTGTCTTATAACGACACGTGCCAAAAAATTTAAAAATCTCATCCACTCCTGTTCTCTTTCTTCTATCTTCTCCTTCTCTACTACTCCTTCTTCTTCTTCTTCTTCTTTTTCTCTGTTCTCCGTTTCTCTACTTACTTTTCTTATTGCCTTACTTGTATTTCAATTTCTCTTATATTTCGTTGCAATTCATATATGCAACCCAAATTACACCTGATATTTTTATATTTGAGAAAAATGCCTTCCATACCTGAGATTCGATCCGTGTCTACTAGCATGCCAGCAGGTGCACGTCTCCACTCGACCACCGAGTGTTTTTGTTATTAATATTTGATTCTTCTATTTATGTTTCTACTTCATTCAACTTTTTAAAAACAACAACACAACTCAACTATGTTGCACTAGCTCCACACGCATAAGATTTATATGCAACATGACTTGAGATGTCAATACTGAAAACGACAAATAGGATACCATAAAGTAATATGAATAAGATTGTAATTTTACATTGTGTTTTACTGAGAACAATAATAATAGATACATTTTTTTAAATAAAAATAATCAACAGTTAGAACATTTTGGAGTAGTAAAAACTTGCCTTAAAATACCCAAATCTCCAACACTTCAGCTAAAGATATTGCAAACTCAATCCGTGCACTCACAAACATTCTGTCTGGCCATCAAAGTTGTCCATTTACAGGAATTAATTATAAATCCAAGTTTTTCTTATGTGCGAAACGATAACTGATTGTCAACGGTCACGCGCGCACCGGTGAACATAAAATTAATCCACGATTGATAAACACAGCTCCGTGCAATCACATAAATTTAATACATGAACAATAAATATGTTTAGCCATGCGAGCATACTTATCCGACGGACACCACGTACGTCCTACAAACAACCACCACACTGGTCTGTTATTACAGAAATTTAATTACAGAATTCTAGATTAATTACAGAATTAAGACCTTTAGTAACGCTAACAAATATCACGAAGTTTGATTAATGAACAAAACACGTGCACACCACACCACGGCGCACGAACGACTAAGCCGGACTAAACAAGAACGACAATTGATAACCGACCCACAGTTGGAGGGACGACAATCTATGTTCGTAAGTTGAAAACAACAACGCACGCAATAACAGAAATGATGTGATATGAAGCAATTAAATTTCCGAATTTTTATTTTAATTTTGTAGGTTTGCCGAAGGTTAAACCCATAAGTTATATACGAAGATGATAGAGAATTTCAGTACCTACAATTTGGGGAAAAAAACGTGGTCCTACGACGTCAGGTTCGGCCGCTAGACACCTAAAACAGCAAAAATTAGATAAACAAAAACACAAAAAGGGCAATTTCGTAGGTTTCCCAAAGGACAAACCCACAAGTTATATACGAAAATGATAGATAATTTTAGTACCTACACTATGGTGGAAGAACGATTGTTCTACGACATCAGGTTCGGCCGCTAGACACCTAAAACAGCAAAAATTAGATAAACAAAAACACAAAAAGGGCAATTTCGTAGGTTTTCCAAAGAACAAACCCACAAGTTGTATCCGAAAATGATAGAGAATTTTAGTACCTTCAATATGGTGGAAGAACGGTTATCCTACGACATCAGGTTCGGCCGCTATCACCTAAAACAGCAAAAATTAGATAAACAAAAACACAAAAAGGGCAATTTCGTAGATTTCCCAAAGGACAAACCCACAAGTTATATACGAAAATGATAGAGAATTTTAGTACCTACCATATGGTGAAAGAACGGTTGTCCTACGACATCAGGTTCGGCCGCTAGACACCTAAAACTGCAAAAATTAGATAAACAAAAACACAAAAAGGGCAATTTTGTAGGTTCCCCAAGGGATAAACCCACATGTTATATACGTAAATGATAGAGAATTTTAGTACCTACAATTTGGTGAAAAAAACGTTGTCCTACGACATCAGATTCGGCCACTAGCCACATAAAACAGCAAAAATGAGACAAACAAAAACACAAAAAGGGCAATTTCGTAGGTTTCCCAAAGGATAAACCCACAAGTTATATACGAAAATGATAGAGAATTTTAGTACCTACAATCTGGTGAAAGAACGGTTGTCCTACGACATCAGATTCGGCCACTAGCCACATAAAACAGCAAAAATGAGACAAACAAAAACACAAAAAGGGCAATTTCGTAGGTTTCCCAAAGGATAAACCCACAAGTTATACACGAAAATGATAGAGAATTTTAGTACCTACAATCTGGTGAAAGAACGGTTGTCGTACGACATCAGGTTCGGCCGCTAGACACCTAAAACCTCAAAATTGAGACAAACAAAAACACAAAAAGGACAATTTCGTAGGTTTCCCAAAGGATAAACCCACAAGTTATATACGAAAATGATAGAGAATTTTAGTACCTACAATCTGGTGAAAGAACGGTTGTCCTACGACATCAGATTCGGCCACTAGCCACATAAAACAGCAAAAATGAGACAAACAAAAACACAAAAAGGGCAATTTCGTAGGTTTCCCAAAGGATAAACCCACAAGTTATATACGAAAATGATAGAGAATTTTAGTACCTACAATCTGGTGAAAGAACGGTTGCCATACGATATCAAGTTCGGCCGCTAGACACCTAAAACATCAAAATTGAGACAAACAAAAACACAAAAAGGACAATTTCGTAGGTTTCCCAAAGGATAAACCCATAAGTTATATACGAAAATAATAGAGAATTTTAGTACCTACAATCTGGTGAAAGAACGGTTGTCGTACGACATCAGGTTCGGCGGCTAGACACCTAAAACAGCAAAAATGCGACAAACTATAACACAAAAAGGGTAATTTCGTAGGTTTCCCAAAGGATAAACCCACAAGTTATATACGAAAATGATAAAGAATTTTAGTACCTACAATCTGGTGAAAGAACGGTTGTCGTACGACATCAGGTTCGGCCGCTAGACACCTAAAACAGCAAAAATGAGACAAACTATAACACAAAAAGGGTAATTTCGTAGGTTTCCCAAAGGCTAAACCCACAAGTTATATACGAAAATGATAAAGAATTTTAGTACCTACAATCTGGTGAAAGAACGGTTGTCGTACGACATCAGGTTCGGCCGCTAGACACCTAAAACAGCAAAAATGAGACAAACAAAAATACAAAAAGGGTAATTTCGTAGGTTTCCCAAAGGATTAACCCACAAGTTATATACGAAAATGATAGAGAATTTTAGTACCTACAATCTGGTGAAAGAACGGTTGTCGTACGACATCAGGTTCGGCCGCTAGACACCTAAAACAGCAAAAATGAGACAAACTATAACACAAAAAGGGTAATTTCGTAGGTTTCCCAAAGGATAAACCCACAGCTTATATACGAAAATGATAGAGAATTTTAGTACCTACCATATGGTGAAAGAACGGTTGTCCTACGACATCAGGTTCGGCCGCTAGACACCTAAAACTGCAAAAATGAGACAAACAAAAACACAAAAAGGGCAATTTCGTAAATTTCCCAAAGGATAAACCCACAAGTTATATACGAAAATGATAGAGAATTTTAGTACCTACAATCTGGTGAAAGAACGGTTGCCATACGATATCAAGTTCGGCCGCTAGACACCTAAAACAGCAAAAATGACAATTTCGTAGGTTTCCCAAAGGATACACCCACAAGTTATATACGAAAATGATAGAGAATTTTAGTACCTACAATCTGGTGAAAGAACAGTTGTTGTACGACATCAGGTTCGGTCGCTAGACACCAAAAACTGCAAAAATGAGACAAGCTATAACACAAAGAGGGTAATTTCGTAGGTTTCCCCAAGGATAAACCCACAACTTATAATCGAAAATGATAGAGAATTTTAGTACCTACAATTTGGTGAAAGAACGGTTGTTGTGCGACATCAGGTTCGGCCGCTAGACACCCCTAAAACAGCAAAAATGAGACAAACAAAAACACAAAAAGGGTAATTTCGTAGGTTTCCCAAAGGATAAACCCACAAGTTATATACGAAAATGATAGAGAATTTTAGTACCTACAATCTGGTGAAAGAACGGTTGTTGTACAACATCAGGTTCGGCCGCTAGACACCTAAAACAGCAAAAATTAGACAACGAAAAACACAAAAAGGGCATTTTCGTAGATTTCCCAAGGGATAAACCCACGAGTTACGTACGTAAATGATAGAGAATTTTAGTACCTACAATCTGGTGAAAGAACGGTTGTCCTACGACTTCAGATTCGGCCGCTAGACACCTAAAACAGCAAAAATGAGACAAACAAAAACACAAAAAGGGCAATTTCGTAGGTTTCCCAAAGGATAAACCCACAAGTTATATCCGAAAATGATAGAGAATTTTAGTACCTACAATCTGGTGAAAGAACGGTTGTCATACAACATCAGGTTCGGCCGCTAGACACCTAAAACAGCAAAAATAAGACAAACTATAACACAAAAAGGGCAATTTCGTAGGTTTCCCAAAGGATAAACCCACAAGTTATATACGAAAATGATAGAGAATTTTAGTACCTACAATCTGGTGAAAGAACGGTTGTCATACAGCATCAGGTTCGGTCGCTAGACACCTAAAACAGCAAAAATGAGACAAACTATAACACAAAAAGGCAATTTCGTAGGTTTCCCAAAGGATAAACCCACAGCTTATATACGAAAATGATAGAGAATTTTAGTACCTACAATCTGGTGAAAGAACGGTTGTCATACAACATCAATATCGGCCGCTAGACACCTAAAACAGCAAAAAAGAGACAAAGTGCTAAAAAGTGAGATAAAATTTTAATTCCTAAGAAAAAATTGCTAAGGGGGGGTGCTTGATACTTTTTTTCGACGATTTTCGATAATTCATATCTCTCAAACTAAAAGAGATACCAACCAACGAATTGCTGATTATGAAAGATTGAAAAATTCTCTATCAGATAAAAATATAAAATAATCATATTTTCAAAAGTTAAAGGTCAAAAAACGCGACTAAAAGTGCTAAAAAGTGACATTTTGCATTTTTGACGATTTTATTCAATCGCGAATATCTCGTAAACTAAAAGAGATAACTAGGAACGGATCTCGGCACCTTAATCTACGGACTGATCTCTATAAGATATGACAGTCAAAACGAAAATCTGAGAGATAAAATTTAAATTCTTAAGAAAAAATTGCTAACGGGGGGTGCTTGATACTTTTTTTCGACGATTTTCGATAATTCATATCTCTCAAACTAAAAGAGATAGCTACCAACGAATTGTTGATTATGAAAGATTGGAAAATTCTCTATCAGATAAAAATATAAAATAATTATATTTCCTACAGTAAAAGGTCGAAAAATGCAACTGAAAGTGCTAAAAAGTGACATTTTGCAATTTTTGTCCATTTTTTTCAATCGCGAATATCTCGTAAACTAAAAGAGATAAATAAGATCTGATCGCAGCGTTTTAATCTACGAACTATTCTCTATCAGATAGGATAGTTAAAACGGAAATCTGTGAGATGAAATTTTCATCCTTAAGAAAAAAATTGCCAAGGGGGGGTGCTTGATACTTTTTTTCGACGATTTTTGAAAATTCATATCTCTTAAACTAAAACCGCTAGCTACCAACGAATTGTTGATTATGAAAGATTGGAAAATTCTCTATCAGATAAAAATATAAAATAATTATATTTCCTACAGTAAAAGGTCGAAAAATGCGACTGAAAGTGCTAAAAAGTGACATTTTGCAATTTTTGCCCATTTTATTCAATCGCGAATATCTCGTAAACTAAAAGAGATATTTAAGATCTGATCGCGGGGTTTTAATCTGCGGACTATTTTCTATAAGATAGGCTAGTTAAAACGGAAATCTGAGAGATGAAATTTTCATCCTTAAGAAAAAAATTGCCAAGGGGGGGTGCTTGATACTTTCTTTCGACGATTTTTGAAAATTCATATCTCTTAAACTAAAAGCGATAGCTACCAACGAATTGTTGATTATGAAAGATTGGAAAATTCTCTATCAGATAAAAATATAAAATAATTATATTTCCTACAGTAAAAGGTCGAAAAATGCGACTGAAAGTGCTAAAAAGTGACATTTTGCAATTTTTGCCCATTTTATTCAATCGCGAATATCTCGTAAACTAAAAGAGATATTTAAGATCTGATCGCGGGGTTTTAATCTGCGGACTATTTTCTATAAGATAGGCTAGTTAAAACGGAAATCTGAGAGATGAAATTTTCATCCTTAAGAAAAAAATTGCCAAGGGGGGGTGCTTGATACTTTTTTTCGACGATTTTTGAAAATTCATATCTCTTAAACTAAAACCGCTAGCTACCAACGAATTGTTGATTATGAAAGATTGGAAAATTCTCTATCAGATAAAAATATAAAATAATTATATTTCCTACAGTAAAAGGTCGAAAAATGCGACTGAAAGTGCTAAAAAGTGACATTTTGCAATTTTTGCCCATTTTATTCAATCGCGAATATCTCGTAAACTAAAAGAGATATTTAAGATCTGATCGCGGGGTTTTAATCTGCGGACTATTTTCTATAAGATAGGCTAGTTAAAACGGAAATCTGAGAGATGAAATTTTCATCCTTAAGAAAAAAATTGCCAAGGGGGGGTGCTTGATACTTTTTTCGACGATTTTTGAAAATTCATATCTCTTAAACTAAAAGCGATAGCTACCAACGAATTGTTGATTATGAAAGATTGGAAAATTCTCTATCAGATAAAAATATAAAATAATTATATTTCCTACAGTAAAAGGTCGAAAAATGCGACTGAAAGTGCTAAAAAGTGACATTTTGCAATTTTTGCCCATTTTATTCAATCGCGAATATCTCGTAAACTAAAAGAGATATTTAAGATCTGATCGCAGGTTTTAATCTGCGGACTATTTTCTATAAGATAGGCTAGTTAAAACGGAAATCTGAGAGATGAAATTTTCATCCTTAAGAAAAAATTGCCAAGGGGGTGCTTGATACTTTTTTTCGACGATTTTTGAAAATTCATATCTCTTAAACTAAAAGCGATAGCTACCAACGAATTGTTGATTATGAAAGATTGGAAAATTCTCTATCAGATAAAAATATAAAATAATTATATTTCCTACAGTAAAAGGTCGAAAAATGCGACTGAAAGTGCTAAAAAGTGACATTTTGCAATTTTTGCCCATTTTATTCAATCGCGAATATCTCGTAAACTAAAAGAGATATTTAAGATCTGATCGCGGGGTTTTAATCTGCGGACTATTTTCTATAAGATAGGCTAGTTAAAACGGAAATCTGAGAGATGAAATTTTCATCCTTAAGAAAAAATTGCCAAGGGGGTGCTTGATACTTTTTTTCGACGATTTTTGAAAATTCATATCTCTTAAACTAAAAGCGATAGCTACCAACGAATTGTTGATTATGAAAGATTGGAAAATTCTCTATCAGATAAAAATATAAAATAATTATATTTCCTACAGTAAAAGGTCGAAAAATGCGACTGAAAGTGCTAAAAAGTGACATTTTGCAATTTTTGCCCATTTTATTCAATCGCGAATATCTCGTAAACTAAAAGAGATATTTAAGATCTGATCGCGGGGTTTTAATCTGCGGACTATTTTCTATAAGATAGGCTAGTTAAAACGGAAATCTGAGAGATGAAATTTTCATCCTTAAGAAAAAAATTGCCAAGGGGGGGTGCTTGATACTTTTTTTCGACGATTTTTGAAAATTCATATCTCTTAAACTAAAAGCGATAGCTACCAACGAATTGTTGATTATGAAAGATTGGAAAATTCTCTATCAGATAAAAATATAAAATAATTATATTTCCTACAGTAAAAGGTCGAAAAATGCGACTGAAAGTGCTAAAAAGTGACATTTTGCAATTTTTGCCCATTTTATTCAATCGCGAATATCTCGTAAACTAAAAGAGATATTTAAGATCTGATCGCGGGGTTTTAATCTGCGGACTATTTTCTATAAGATAGGCTAGTTAAAACGGAAATCTGAGAGATGAAATTTTCATCCTTAAGAAAAAATTGCCAAGGGGGGGTGCTTGATACTTTTTTTCGACGATTTTTGAAAATTCATATCTCTTAAACTAAAAGCGATAGCTACCAACGAATTGTTGATTATGAAAGATTGGAAAATTCTCTATCAGATAAAAATATAAAATAATTATATTTCCTACAGTAAAAGGTCGAAAAATGCGACTGAAAGTGCTAAAAAGTGACATTTTGCAATTTTTGCCCATTTTATTCAATCGCGAATATCTCGTAAACTAAAAGAGATATTTAAGATCTGATCGCGGGTTTTAATCTGCGGACTATTTTCTATAAGATAGGCTAGTTAAAACGGAAATCTGAGAGATGAAATTTTCATCCTTAAGAAAAAAATTGCCAAGGGGGGGTGCTTGATACTTTTTTTCGACGATTTTTGAAAATTCATATCTCTTAAACTAAAACCGATAGCTACCAACGAATTGTTGATTATGAAAGATTGGAAAATTCTCTATCAGATAAAAATATAAAATAATTATATTTCCTACAGTAAAAGGTCGAAAAATGCGACTGAAAGTGCTAAAAAGTGACATTTTGCAATTTTTGCCCATTTTATTCAATCGCGAATATCTCGTAAACTAAAAGAGATATTTAAGATCTGATCGCGGGTTTTAATCTGCGGACTATTTTCTATAAGATAGGCTAGTTAAAACGGAAATCTGAGAGATGAAATTTTCATCCTTAAGAAAAAATTGCCAAGGGGGTGCTTGATACTTTTTTTCGACGATTTTTGAAAATTCATATCTCTTAAACTAAAAGCGATAGCTACCAACGAATTGTTGATTATGAAAGATTGGAAAATTCTCTATCAGATAAAAATATAAAATAATTATATTTCCTACAGTAAAAGGTCGAAAAATGCGACTGAAAGTGCTAAAAAGTGACATTTTGCAATTTTTGCCCATTTTATTCAATCGCGAATATCTCGTAAACTAAAAGAGATATTTAAGATCTGATCGCGGGGTTTTAATCTGCGGACTATTTTCTATAAGATAGGCTAGTTAAAACGGAAATCTGAGAGATGAAATTTTCATCCTTAAGAAAAAAATTGCCAAGGGGGGGTGCTTGATACTTTTTTTCGACGATTTTTGAAAATTCATATCTCTTAAACTAAAAGCGATAGCTACCAACGAATTGTTGATTATGAAAGATTGGAAAATTCTCTATCAGATAAAAATATAAAATAATTATATTTCCTACAGTAAAAGGTCGAAAAACGCGACTGAAAGTGCTAAAAAGTGACATTTTGCAATTTTTGCCCATTTTATTCAATCGCGAATATCTCGTAAACTAAAAGAGATATTTAAGATCTGATCGCAGCGTTTTAATCTACGAACTATTCTCTATCAGATAGGATAGTTAAAACGGAAATCTGTGAGATGAAATTTTCATCCTTAAGAAAAAAATTGCCAAGGGGGGGTGCTTGATACTTTTTTCGACGATTTTTGAAAATTCATATCTCTTAAACTAAAAGCGATAGCTACCAACGAATTGTTGATTATGAAAGATTGGAAAATTCTCTATCAGATAAAAATATAAAATAATTATATTTCCTACAGTAAAAGGTCGAAAAATGCGACTGAAAGTGCTAAAAAGTGACATTTTGCAATTTTTGCCCATTTTATTCAATCGCGAATATCTCGTAAACTAAAAGAGATATTTAAGATCTGATCGCGGGGTTTTAATCTGCGGACTATTTTCTATAAGATAGGCTAGTTAAAACGGAAATCTGTGAGATGAAATTTTCATCCTTAAGAAAAAAATTGCCAAGGGGGGGTGCTTGATACTTTTTTTCGACGATTTTTGAAAATTCATATCTCTTAAACTAAAAGAGATAGCTACCAACGAATTGTTGATTATGAAAGATTGGAAAATTCTCTATCAGATAAAAATATAAAATAATTATATTTCCTACAGTAAAAGGTCGAAAAATGCGACTGAAAGTGCTAAAAAGTGACATTTTGCAATTTTTGCCCATTTTATTCAATCGCGAATTTCTCGTAAACTAAAAGAGATATTTAAGATCTGATCGCGGGGTTTTAATCTGCGGACTATTTTCTATAAGATAGGCTACTTAAAACGGAAATCTGAGAGATGAAATTTTCATCCTTAAGAAAAAAATTGCCAAGGGGGGGGTGCTTGATACTTTTTTTCGACGATTTTTGAAAATTCATATCTCTTAAACTAAAAGCGATAGCTACCAACGAATTGTTGATTATGAAAGATTGGAAAATTCTCTATCAGATAAAAATATAAAATAATTATATTTCCTACAGTAAAAGGTCGAAAAATGCGACTGAAAGTGCTAAAAAGTGACATTTTGCAATTTTTGACGATTTAATCAATCGCGAATATCTCGTAAACTAAAAGAGATAACTAGGAACGGATCTCGGCACCTTAATCTACGGACTGATCTCTATAAGATATGATAGTTAAAACGAAAATCTGAGAGATAAAATTTAAATTCTTAAGAAAAAATTGCTAAGGGGGGGGTGCTTGATACTTTTTTTCGACGATTTTCGATAATTCATATCTCTCAAACTAAAAGAGATACCAACCAACGAATTGCTGATTATGAAAGATTGGAAAATTTTCTATCAGATAAAAATATACAATCATCCACGTACGGTGCCCTGAATACGAGTCACTTCTACCGCAATTTTTATTTAAGAATTATTCCCGACCTCTCTTATTTTCCCAATTTGAATACCTTACCTCATAGAGAATTTTCCAAAAATTTAGAATCTTCAATCCGAAATAATTGGAATTAAAAAACCGAGACAAAAATGGGATAGGGGTGGTTAAGGCGTAATTCCGCTGAATTGCATCTTCAAGCACAACTCTTGCGCTTTTGTGAGCGAATGAAAAACGAAACATTTAATTTTGAGATGTACCAGCCGAGTACGCGATAAATCAAAACAACGTAAATACAAACTGATACAGGACGCAGATTTTAAAATAAAAATATATAATTGATTTATAAACTTACCAATGCACAACTCATGGACTCCAAAGCACGGCAAATACTGTAAATAAAAAAAGAGAACATAAGTTAAAACAAAAATGTTTCATGCGACTTGGTAATATTATAATTACACAGTGGAGAAAAACAAATAATCTGTGCTGTTTAGTTAAAAGTACTTACACCAGCACGATGGGTCATCCTAATGATGAATAAATGTATTCACCTAGCAACTCGACACTTACGCACAAATAATAAATAACTACCTCCTATAGTCGCAAGTTAAAACGAAATAGGTAGTTGATTGATGAACGAATATAATGCGAATTTGGAAAATAGAAGTTCGGACAAACGATACGAGAGAAGCACGTTTGCAACAACCAGAGACCGGCACAAACTGGCCGCCAACTGCGCAAGCAACGACGCGACATTTGCGTTGACGGCCCGCGAACTAGACTGTGCACAATAAGACTCTGTGCCAGCTGCATGAACGCCGCAGGTAAAAGCAATAGATGCGCAAAGGCGGCGCGTCGATAGCACGAGACCTAGGCGCGAATTGCATTTGGCACGTTACCTGCAATCAAAACGAAAATATGGTGCAGCAACATGAGGCGTGAGAGGACGGCAACGACGACACACATGTCAATGCGATAAGAAAGTAAACTAAAAGAGATAAATAGGAACAAATCGCAGAAACTATTCTACGGACTATTCTCTATAAGATAGGCTAGGAAATGTAAGAGATGAAATTTTAATTCTTATGAAAAAAATGCCAAAATTGCTTGATACTTTTTTTCGGCGATTTTTGATAATTAATATCTCTTAAACTAAAAACGATAGCAACCAATGATTCGCAGATTATGAAAGATTGGAAAATTCCCTATTAGATAAGAGTATAAAATAATTAAATATCGTAGGGTAAAAGGGCGAAAAATATGACTAAATGTGCTAAAAAGTGTTAAATGTGCTGAAACTTGTCTAAGCTAAGCTAGCAATCTAAAATATGAAAAAATGATTCATAAGAAAAATTGCTGAAAAGGTGCTTTTTTAATACTTTGAGTAACGAATACCTTATAAACTAGAAGAGGTATTAGGAGAGTACTGAAACAGGAAAACCGCTCTGTTATCAGGGAATTCAAAGAATTCAACTTTATAATACGTTCCTACCTTGTAGTGCAGACGTAAAAGCGTGAGATGTAGTAAATCCTGGTTTTCAACACAGGTAGCACATGATTAATAACAATTAATTATCTCACGAACTCACTGGCACTAAATTCCGTCAATTTTTGATGTATTGAGTGTAAAATGCATAACACTGCATACAATTTCACACGCACTCTCCGCGACTGCCGATAAAGAACTAGCTAGCATCGTAGCTGGTCGCGTGTACATCGAGAAATCGAGAAATGAGATAAGAAGTTTGTATGTAAACAACGTCCGATTCCACATTGCACGATAAAACACGTTCGGTCATTCAATGAATAGTTATATTCATATTCACTTATGTGTTGAATTACCAAAACTGGTTATAACAATTACTTAATATATTAATTAATAGAAAAGTCTAATTTAAAATGATGAAATTAAATATGTGATGTTAAATAAATATATATCTGATATAGCTGATAAATAACGCCTGAATATGTTAAAATAATGTTATCTATTACAATTTACTGCTATATATTAAAATTTAGTAAAAATAAAAATGATTATTATGTAGGTATATTATATTTAATAATTATACTAATTGTGTTCAGTTTTAATATTAATAAAATATTCATTTGAAGAATTTAATACCAATAAGTACATTGTAGCGTCACCCATGGAGGAATTCTAGACTTATATTTAGAAATTCCTACTCATTCACTCAGAGTGATGCGTGAATTTATCCATATCGGTGTGCAGTGCGCACTTCACACCTACACGAGTGCCACACCCGTTTGACTACAGGTAAACTCACTGCTACAAGTGCAACGTCACACACCTCACCAAACGTGTTCACCGGCAGTAAACAAACAGCTTTATGAGGCGTCTGCGGATGTACTCTCTGAATCAATACTGGATGGCGCAGCGATGCACATTTCAGTTTAAAATATTTTAATATATTGCACGAAGGACGCGTGAGTTCAAGCGGGAATTGATATCTTTATAAAAATATCAATGTTTGTTTACAAACAATTGATTAACACGAATATCAAACGTATACTCTTCGCAGCATTCAAAATAATTCAAAATTAATCAAAAATTGCGCAAAGATGCACTTTAAACTTAAATAAATTGTCTCTGTAGCAATATTTATCCCAAAATATTAAAAATAAAAAGAAATATGCATAAAAACACACAATATCCGGTTTAAACTTGTCAACAACCAAATATAAAATCATCTTTCGATATTTATATGTATTAGGTCATAAATTGCAAAAACAATTAAACATTCGCATAAATATAATAAACAAACAAAAAGAATTAAACACCTTATTATATCTTAGAAAAACATTACGAGTTGGTAGACGTATTCGGCGACATTTTGCTCAAATCAACAATACTCCCATGCACCGCAGGCATTTCAACTTGTTTGGGAGGTACCGGTTTGATGGCCCCATCTTCATTAGCAACACCAAGCCCAATAGTAGCTCCTATTTTCGCTGAGGCTTGATTAAAAGTATCGCTGATTTTCACTTGTACCACATTGATGCACATAGACATCAAGGCCAAGCCGAAGACAATATATACAATCGAGACGATCATAAAGAACGGATGTCGTGGGACGTAATCACCGAAACCAATGGTAGACATTGATATAAACACAAAATAGAATGAAGCAAAGAAATCCCAACCCTCCCAGATACCAAATAGTACAGCTCCCAAGAAGATATACAACACTAGTAATAAAATAGCGACGGATATCGGAAGATTGAATTCATCATCAATTTCAAAGTTGGATATTGCCGGGGTGGGAGGTGCTGTGGTACCCTCGGTGCTTTCATGGGGACTTCCGGGTTGGGGTTGCATCATGTTGGGATCATATGCGGATGGACGCCGGAAAGTTGCCAGGTCGTACATCATTTGAGCTCCTTTGAATAGTTCCTAAAATATTTTCATTAAAAAACATGTTTTAGGTTAGATTTGAATAAAATTACCTGCGCTTGAGCTGTTTTTCTCATCTTTCTGCAACTCCCTGTATAATATAACCTTCTTACGAAGGACCATAAAAATTTGATGCATCTTGTGAACATTTTACCAAAGTCAGTCAAAATGATCAGAAACAGTGGAATTCCAATCAATGAATAAACAATTGTAAGAGCTTGACCAGTTTTTGTTGTTGGATATAAATGTCCATAACCTAAAATAATCAAAATTTATTTAAACTCACCAAATAAGACCTAATAAGACTAATAAAATTCTACATCTGTTAGTTTTGTTATTGTTAGTCTTACCAATAGTTGTTACAACAGTCAAACAATAAACAATCCCATTCAGAAAGCTCCAAGACCTCTCCCCGCTATAAGAATGTATCCCAGCTTCATGAGCTGTATGTAATTCTTCTTCAAATATCCTCAATCTGTTCCTAGCCAAAGATTTCCACTCCTCTTCACGCATGTTATGACTCTTCGTCCATAATAATTCAATGAAATCACGCTTGACTCGTTTTACTCCACATTTATAAAAGTTCTCGAAAGCTCCTTCAATATATTTGAAAACCATTCCTCCCAAACCACAGAAAATGAACAAAATCACCAAGTGATTGATGCATTTCCTTCGTAATCTTCGAATTATATTGTATTCTTCATTCATGTCTACTTTATACTTTCGATACTCTCGGAATATTTGTCTGAGGGAATAGTATCGAAATATTTTGAAGGAATCAATGAATCTCATCCTGGTAACTTCTCCAACATTCTTCACTTCGATTACTTTGGATGTTTTTGGATCTAGGAACTCGACAATTTTATTACATTTAACTGTATCTTTTAGTTTAATTTGTTTCTTCTTTTCAGCTGCTTTTTCTTTGATGATATCTTGTACTAGGACGCGTTTTCTAATTGGTCGTTTTGGTAAAGGTTTCTCTGAATTGTGGGACTTGTCACTTCCGGAAGAATATCGTCTTTCTGAAAGGGATCGGATTCTATCTTCCTGGCGTTCCCTACTAGCTTTCTGAGCTCTTTTAAAACTCTCCATTACTTCTTCTTGACTAAGTTCTTTAGGCTGAGACTGACTACGTTTTTGATCTTCAGTTTTCTTAAATCTACGGCGACGTAGTTCTTTACCCTTTTCTTCAATTGTATTTTTAGTTTTATGGAATAGATTTACCAGTTCTTGGGTGTTAGTTGTCACAAAATTGTCTAGTTTCTGTATTTGTTCTTCAAGTTGTCTAGGGATGCTAGAAGCTCGGTCCTGGTGACCATAATCAGAAGTGACACTTTGTCTTTCTGATGCTGAAGCGGAGGGAGAGCCGGAATCAGGTCGTTTTAGTTTGGGTTTAAGTTTTGTACGAAGAGTAACTTCAGGTTGAGATAGGGTAGAAGATTCAGGTGGTGGCGGAACTGGTTCTGTTGGTAATTGATCTTCAACTTTACTTGTTGATAATTGAGTTCCCTCACTAACCATTTCAACAACCTTTTTAACAGATTCAACAACATTTGAAGCCTTTTCATTTTCAATCAATTCTTCTTCTTCAGGAGGAACCTCTGCTAATTTCTGAGGTGTACGCTTCTTTAGAACCTCACCAGTCACCGGATCCTTCTTCACTTCTTCAGGTGTAGATGTATCATCAACTGGCACCTCCGCCAACATCTGAGGTTGTCTTTTAATAAGACCTTCCTTTTCCTGTTTAGGTACCTCTTTAACAACATCAGTAACATTATCTTTAGTAGCAGTTTCGTTTGATCGTTCGGTCGTCTTCGGTTTACGTCTGATTTCGTGCCTCTCAACCTCCTCGTCGTCGGTGGACGTCTCATCAGCCAGACGCTGCGCTCGCATAGGAGTCTGCGAACGCGCTTTATTCAATTCATTCGTACGCTTTCTCGTGATGGTCCTTCGCTTCTTCGCCACACTCGCACTGTGCACTTGCTCTGGAGTGACCATCGACTCCAGCTGCTCCATGCTAGGCATTTTTCTTTCGAGTCGAGCGCCTGCTGCATTTCGTTCGGTATTTTCGACGTTCGATGTTGTCGACGAATCCATGATGTCGAGACTGAGTTATTTTTGGAAGCTCGTTGCCGCCGGCACCAGTTTCAAAATTTTCTACGTAATACACAACTTGCTTTTTAGTTCAGGATGAAATTTCTAGCTGTCACTATGAGTTTCGCGTTTTGGAAACTTTAGAATATATTTTATAAATAGTCCTCACAAGTTATACAAATTATACTTTAAACTTTACTTTACTTTTGATTTTCATCGTGTTTAAATCATATATTAGTCAGTCGATTTCTTTGATTTTGGAATGTTTACAATCCCTGGACTTCTTAGAATGCAATCAGTTTAAGTGTGTCGCTTTGACTTGTTGCGTCGGCGTGACCAAAATAAATACTATTCACACGAATCAACTCATATCGAATCGCACGACAAAAATACTTTTCACTTATAAATAAATCCAAGTACTTATTAATACGCATCTTGGTGATGGTATGAGATTAATGCTCTTGTTGGAGAAAATTCTCGAAATTTCAGGCGTGACTCACTTGGCTAGACATCCTTATAGTTGTCACGAATAATCCGATCGTCATCATTAGCGTCACCAAGAATGTGTTAAGTATGAATAAAAGCGCAGGTCAAGACATTGTTAGTAAAATTACATCAACATAAATTAAGACATAGAAAATATAATTACCGATTGTTGTGTAGATGGTACTGCAGTACACAACCGCATTCCAGAATGTCCATATTTTTGGGCCGTGATTCGAAACAATCAATTGATGATTTTTGTAGGCTTGTATAACATAATCTTCAAATTCGTGGATTTTCGCCACTGCAGCTCCATGATATTCTCCATCTGATTTCTCACGTGGGATGTAAATCGATAAGTTTCTTAAGTCTTGAACCAGCTGAGTGCGTTTTGCTCGTATGTCAATTTCAACAATTTTTTCTTCGTTTCTTCCTAAAATAGAATAGAATAATTATGAGTTATGAGATTTGAGATTTATACAGCTGCAGTAAGTATAATAAAATATTTATATGGATGCTATTATAGATTCGATAAATTCGATAGTTTTACGCCATGTGTGAAAGATTTTATTCACTTTGCGATTTGTTATAATACTACATTTTTGATGAAATGTTTTACGACTATCATGGATCATCTGTGGTTGAAATTACGACGCAGTGAACTTAAATTTTTAGTATTATTCCAATTTTTCAACTTTTATTTTTAGTTTTTTCTTAAATTTTATTAAGCAATCAAAAAACACGTGTGATTCATGGATGAAAGTGATTTCGACCACGTGCACAAGTAAAACATATTAATTCCTTTATTTTTAGAACAAGTTTTTCTTCTTCAATCAAATTGATTGATGGTTGAAATATATTTAAGCTTCCGTTAAAATATTTAAACTAAAATTGACATTTGTTCGCTTATATAAATCTTCAACGTCAAAAGTCGTAAAAATATTCTGCGATTTGTAAAAAAGCGCTCGAGTAAAATGAAAAATAAATAGACCCCATTAATGAAAACATTGGCTATTTGCTGGCGCATGCAAAATAATTGTAAGCCACGCGTCTAAAAATATAATACAGAAAAAGTATGCCAGAAAAATTCGCATAAATTTTCCTTTTGTTTTATTTTTAAATAAATTTAATTAATTCTGCGAAAAAAATTACCTTCAATATTCTGAAATATAATTGCACCACCAACAGTGTATCCCACGATGACCAAAGTAAGAAAAATATGCGTAAACCATCTTCGACTCCATGAGCTTAATTTATTGTACAACCAAAAAGCGCCTTTTTCACCAAAACCAAGCCCTGACTTCGCCGTAGTCGTCGTAAAGTCTTTGATGTCATTGAACTGATTAAACATAAACTGCGACGCTTTGCGATGGTACATATGCGGAGGTATTCGTTGATTAGGATTACTATTCATGCTGACATTACTGTAGGCACTTTGTGGTTGATGGGAATAAGGCTGGAGGTAATCCTCCTGCGGGGGGATGTATAACGTCGGTGGTGCCCATCCCAAATGCTTCTTTTTCTTCAGAGGATTATCACCTGGAGGTGTTGATGGAGGTGAAGAATTTCCAGACATTTTAAACTATTTTATCACAGTTTTTAAATCCACTACAGAATATTTTAATTTAAAAAACACTTTTAATGTTTCACATTATTTTAATATTTTAATGATAAATATTGACTGTAGATTGTTGTGTTTTGTTGTTTTGTGATTATATTTTGATACAAACGTGCAGTCACGAGTCGCGTTGTAGAAAACAAAATCTACTGAGCGGTCCGTCGAGACGCACACGAGTCGAGAGACGTCGTTGCGTTTCAATCTTCGCGCACGGCGTCGCTTTCAACAGTCTCGTATTTTTTATTTTTATATTTTGGTGGCACTCAGGACGCTTGCACCTACTCATTGTGAACAATCATTGTTATTGTACTATTAAATTTAGTTATTTATAAACGCGCAGAGCTGTCGCATTTGCTAATCAACACGGCGATTCGTTTTCTTTTACAGAAATAAAATTATTGTATTTTCTAAAATTAAAATTGTCTCGTGAGTTTTGTCACCTTTTGACGTCTCAGTTGATGTTCTTTTGGCGTTTGACTGTGAAAATCTACGATCAGGATGAAAGAAATGTTACTCATCTTTTAACTAACGATATGAATATAAATAAAAGTATTACAGCGTGTCACAACACGAGTCGAGTGTGACACACCGGCTAGTTTTCATAGTTTTTGACAAACTGCGCAGCAGTACTCAGAAATTCCTGAAAATAATAAAAATATGTCGTTAGTGATGAAATATTATTCATTTATTTACATAATTGTCTGTATTGTCAGAAATTATTATAAGTTACAATGTATTACTGATATTATTAGTGTGTAAGTACTTGTCGTACTGTAGATAATTTATTTTTAAGTGAATGAGCACTTTGAAAGTTTGTTCCATAAATTCGTTGAAATTCGTCCCATTTTCTAGCCAGAAATATCACTCACCTTTACTTCCTACTCACGTAGGTAGACTTTCAAACAAATTTTCAAAATAATATGACCTGGATACAAAAAACTCGAAATAATCTTAAATATGTAAATTAAGTTAATGTACGTTTTAAAAATTGTATGTTTCTAGTGAATTTTAAGTTTTATTTTAATTTTTTGTTGATTTAGTTTATGTTTTGTGCTTTAGATGGCGATGCCTGTATTAAAACGTAGAGAAAATGTTGTGTTGCTTTGGTTTTCAGCCACATGATGGCTATAGCTGTACGATTTTATGATAAATTTGAGTAGTTGAAGGTTTTAGTTGATTATTTTTTTGTTTTCTTTTTCTTATCGGTTTCTTTTATGTTTCTCTGTGATTTGCCTTTGTCAACTTTGCCGGCCTTCACCCAATTTTCAAATATACTCATAAATAGATTCTCGCTAGCTGCGTCGGCCAATGGAAACAGGAAAACACGATTTTCCTCTATTTCTTGCTTTTCTTCTTCCAAGCGTTCCGCCTCCGCTTTGCGACGCTCCAATTCTTCCTTCTCCTCCGGCGTTAACTCGTCCTTACCTTTCTTTTCCTTCGGCTCAGTTTTTCTTTTGTGTCCTTTTTGTTTTCGACGCCTTTTTTCCTTTGGCATCTTTTTTGTTACCTTTATTTCCTTTTTCGATTTTGGGACTTTCTGACGTCTTCTTTGGCTTTTGCGCTTCTTTCGATTTGCGCGGCTTCTCTTTTTCGGGCTTCGGCTCCTTGGGTGGCTTAAACTGCGTCTTCATCACCTTCGGAATATTCCACTCCGCATTTACCGTCTGAGTTATGAGATTCGGGGACATCGGAACGCCAGTTTTATTAATGTGAAATGAAAGTTTTCATAAAAGCTGAAATTTATCGCCGGCCGGCGACCAAAATAAAAGATATAAAAAACAAGCACCAAAGACGATAAATACCGGCGGAAAACGTGTTCCAACTTACTACTCGAAAACAAAGTCCACTATCGCTCTAAGAATGTTAAAATTCAATTTTCTCAGGTCGGGACATTCATTCACTGCGGGCACATGCTCAAGTAGGTCATGACTTTTCGCCTGCGCGAAACTTTCCGCGACGACCGCAAAGTTTCCCCTCACATCGGCGTTGTCATCGGATTGTTTCTGCATCCAGCTCATCCACGGCACCCAGCCGACTTGTGGGTCATCCATATCCCAATTGCGTTGCTCCATCAATTTAAAATAAGCCCACTCCTTCATAATTTCAATTTCATGCACTCGCTCCAATTCCAATTGTCGCTCCACTTCAGATTGTCTTTGTTTGCCGGCAGTTTCTGCATCCATTTCAACTCGTGATAACTTAGTCTCTTGCAGATTAATTCCACTTCGTGCCTGCGATAAAGATGATGTTGCAGCAGGCGATTGTGGTGGAAACGTAGAGGTTGCTTGACGCTTACTCAAGTAATCGATAACTTGCCCGGATGCTGATTTAATATTCTCATCAATAAGTCGGCCGTCCGTGCCCGACGTTAAGTCGGAATCTTTATTCGTGTCGGTGGAGTTCACCACGCTCCTATCATCACTCGATTGCAATTCGCTTATATTGATTATGACCTCATTATAGTCCATATCTTCACCTGCCATAATATATGGATTGATGCAGGTGCAGTGGATTTGAGAGGGAGTAATCGGGTCACATATACAGGGTTGATCAATTGGTTTAAACTTTTTGTATCCGGCCCAGAATGGATATGTGTTAATACATTGCGAGGTATCATTAGTCATCTGAGATGTGGTATAATCTAAACTTTCCTCCTCTTCTCCTTCTTCTTCGCCTTCTACTTCTTGATGATTCATAGAGTCTGTTACTAGACAGGGATCTGAATAGGCATGGACTGAAATATTACAAACAAAGAATGAGAAACAGATGAACAATGACATTGAATGATGGAACGATAAGATCTATATCACGGGCGAAAATATTACCAATATTTCCAACCGGATTGTTCGTCTTCAAGTGATTTATATGCTGCTTGATGTCGAACTCCGGCTGGATGGTGATTTTGCGTGCGTCGCTCGATGTGATCGAGAAGGTTGATACTGAAATTGTGTGGTTCTCATCCAATGAGGAAGTTGAGTCATCATCATCGCTATCGGACGAGCTTGCAACTACTGCTTCTTGTTCTAGCAACTCTTGAACATAATGGTCGATAAACCCGGTAGCCGGAAACTTTTCGCACGACGTGCTGACGTGTTTGTATAAGGCAAACAGAATGTTTTTGAAGACACGCAGGAATTGTTTTCTTGATAAATTTAAAAGTGGATCTGAAATATTTTAAAATTATTAATAAAATATTTTTTCTATTTTTAGGGTTTTAGACATAAAAATGGTACTTTAGTCACGGATGGCTAAAGGAGTGAATAATGTACTTTAGTCACGGGTTTTAGTCACGGGGTGACTAAAACTCCACTTTAACCACTTGATACTTAATATATTCCAATATTTTTATTTAATACCGGCAATAAGTTTAAATATAGCCGTGACCCATTCAAGTATAACTTTTGTTCGTTTTCCTTGAAGGCGAAAACATCTTGAGCTTTCCAGAGACAATCGGTGAGAATATCCAACAAGAAGAATTGCACCAGGTCGTATTCGTACTCGTCGTATCCGAGAATTTTACCAAGAGCTTGGATACTAAAGCGGATGCCGCTATCACTAACTTTCGGTAGATCGGCGGCGGGAACGTGCGACACTGCGAGGGGTTTGTGCACGATAGGGCGCTGATAATCGATGTCGTAGGCGGGCGTGGGCGGCGGTACTCTGGCGTGCTTCTTCAAGGAAGGCTTGTCGTAGAAGTGGATAGCTTCGCCTAATAAATTATACTTGTCGCCACCGTTGCCGCCGTTGCCGGCGTTGCCGCAGCGGTGGTGGCGTTTGCTTGATGCATCATCTTTTGTTGTCTGCTCGACGTTTTCCGTTGCTACTTTACTATTGTTCCGTTCTACGTGAATTTCTTCCTCATCGTCATCGTGTGCTTCACATGCAGATTCGGAAAAGCTGCCAGAAATATGATTTTGGTGTAATAATACCTGTATACTCATATTGTTTAATGTTTAATGGTTAAATATTATTTTTGAGAAAGTGGAAAATGTCAGTTTAGAATAAAATGTCAATATACTGTGACTTTTGCTTCGTGTTGAAAGACAATTAAGTTCTTAAACGTCCGGATTATAAATAGTCAAACGTCGCATTATGTGTTCGGGTGCATGTTGTGAGAAATGGTACGAACACGCAGCGAGACATGAAAAACGAATAGCGACGTGGCTTGGAAATAAATGAAATTGTTGTGAATTAAGCGTGAGGTGCAAATGCTACCAACAGGAAGGAATAGAATAACTTGGCAGAGATTAAAATCACACATTCTCACACCTTATTTCCTTTTCCTTTAAATGTGCAAATTTTCCGACGTAATATTTTTACTTTCTGGTTAGAAAACATTGTTTTCTATACACTTGTGTGGAAAGCAAAGTTTTTCCACGGTTTTGAAACCCAAAAAGTAGGAATTTAATCACGGAAGGCCAAAACTGTGATTAAAGTACTTTAGTCACGGGTTTTAGCCACGGGGTGGAGCTTGCGCGTGCGCAATTTCGTACGGTGCAGCACAAGTTCATATAAAATTCACATACAAAAGCTAAACCATAAAATAAAGTAAAAAAAGAAAAAATAGCGAAACATCACGTCGCTAAACGTTGTTAAAGTGCCACTTAGCGCACTTGATACTTAAAATTCTATTCCCATCCGTTTTCTAAAATTATAAAACATTCATGTTATAAATAAATTTTTAATTCTAATTAATATGTCTACATGAATTTAATTATATATTGTGTCCTTTGATGTGTATCAAATTCGCTAGGTGCGAAAAGCGCATTGTTTGCACGCGCATTCTATGAGTAATTGCATCGCAGCGCAAATGCGGCATTTGTCTACGTGTGTGTTATTGCAATTTGCTGCCAGCCATTCTTCATACGCACACATGTATCCACACGCAAGCTGTGTAACCGTTGCTTGTTGTTCGATGGCTGCTTATTAGCGCAACCTATCAATGGATTTATTGTGGGTTGTAATGCAATCGGGCAATTGCGATGGATGGACGATACTGATTATGCTTCACGTGTGCTGCATGTAATAAGTCGCATAGTGTTGCAGATTGCATCCATTAAATCCGCTTCCGGCGCCATTTTGTCTTCGACAGGATATTATCCCAACCATATACCAACATACAACACAGAATTCCAATCTCAATTTCATGGATTTCACAAGGAAAGAAACAAAATACAAAAAACGGACATAAAACTAAAATCTGTCTGGCCTAACAAGTAGCGCAGTCATAAAAAAGTTGGACGTGGAACAAATTCTAGGTTAGGTCCTGATGTAGAAACTGTAAGCGCTTTGCTAGTGGTAGTTTCAGTGGCAGACTGTGCGCGTTACTTGTTTCGGTTGTTTGCCTCGAGGGCGTAATAAAACTTGTAATTGGAACGAAAGGTGTTGGAAATAGTTCATTTCGTCACCGCGCACCACCAACGAACCACATTTTTATTTCGTGCTGTTTATTGTGGCAAAACTAAAAATATTAACACATGATATCTGAAAGTAAAACTAGATATCTTCAGACACTTTTATTCTAGGAACGAATTTTTAAACATGAAAAGCGTGTGAGGAATGACGCTTCAAAGTGATGTAGATTTTATTTACATAGAATTTCACAACTTTGATGTGTCTGAATGGGAATTGAATTGAATAGCGAATATTCGAATTGAGTTTATAATTTTCTATGGCCTTAAAATAAATATTTTATTATTCGGAATTGATTTGAATGTTGTTTATATAATGATGAATGATGAATGCGCTTCAATTTGTGGGAAATTGAATTTTAAAAAATAAACGGTAATGACGGAAATGTTTGAATAAGTAGTCCTTTTGTATGACTAACAATGAGTCTTTGATGATGATAATTATCACGTGCGGTTGACAACTTGTAAAGCTAACAAGCTGTATACTTAATGAATAGCGAACAAATGTTATCATGTAAAAATTTGTATTGATGTAATCTTCACACCGGATGTTTGTAAATTAAACTCTCGCGGTTATGCTGGAAGACGTCGACCTAGTCACATTTGTATGCGGAAGTTGGGAAATTCGGAAATAGTACAACGCCGATTGGATCAAACAAGGGGCGCACCCGGAGCCGGAACAAATGTGTGGCGCGGAAAGATAACGAAACATCGGAAGCGAAACGAATCGCGTCGGATCGCATTATCGAATTTGAATTGTCCGCTTGCCGCACCACGCGGCATAAATTTGCCTGCGAAATGCTATCGTTTACATAACCCGAACCGAAACCGGAACTGGCTCACCTTGCGCTAAAACTGAAATCAAATCCGTGCGTGATAGTCAATTTGGAATCTATTTGCCAATTTGCCAATTCGAGCAAATAGCTTCGAGAAACTTAACATCCGTTTACATTAATAGACACCTACCACTAAAACCCAACAAAAAACATGAAAATAATTTAATAATAATATAATCAAGTTGTTTTGTCAGTTGTATATCACGTTCGTTGACGCATCAACAACCAACCGCCGACATTAACTTGCTTATAGTGCAGCGCATAAATTTCATGCGTTTTGTATTATGGATCGGGATAGTTACGAGCTGGCGCAGGTTTTATTATCTTTTTATGTGGCTAGCGGACGGCGCGCAGAAATGCATAGACCACGCCATCGATTTTCCATTAGTATATAACACTTGCAAGGCAGCCGGCGATAAGAACATTAAAAATGACCGAGGTACGCTCGAAATTGCTTTCTCGCCCCTGCACTCTGTTTCTGCGAGATGGCTTTTCACTTTTTATTATTACTACAGCCGAAACGGAAATAAATTTTACATGATTCACATTTGCATTTTCACAGTGCACAAAGGTTATGTTCAATTTTCTCTTACCTCTTAACACAAAACTAAAAAAAATATGTATTATTGGTTGCCTATACTCCTTAAATCTGAGCGGAAGTTTTATAGAATTTTTATTAATTATTTCTAATAGTGCATTGATTTATAGTTAGATAGATATATATTTAGTTGGAATCCAATGTCAAGTAGATATTTAATCCGTTCCAAATTATAGAATTCTCAGATTTGGTCGATTTACATTTTTATAAATTAGTTTCATTAATGGATAGATATTAATACAATTAATACTTATATTAATCCCTTCTTATCTCGTGTTTAAGATACAAATCTCATTATTGTCACGTTAGCAAGTATTCAACAGATTAATGTACACTTTAATTTTTTAAATTCTAAACAATGAGATTAACTAGTATAAAAGCGGCTTGGGATAATCGGTAAAGTCACACTTTGATAGAACTACCGAACCTCAATCAAATCAATCAAAATGATGAAAGGTGAGATTAACTAGTTTTAATAATCTATTAGTGTAATTAATGGTTTATTATTTAAATTTCAGTTTTGGTTCAACTCGCCACCGTTTGCCTTCTGGCTCATCTGGCCGTGGCCGTCAAGGGTCCCGTAGCTGAACCAGTCTGTGATGTGGTGTGCCCACCTGACAACCCAATTGTAGATAACTGGCATCTTCCATACACTGGTCATTGTGAGCTCTTCTGCCACTGTGCAAATGATGGTAACTGGAAGAAGGAGTGCCCTGCTGGTCTTGAATTCAACCCAACCCTGCAAGTCTGTGACTGGCCCTATGCTGCTGGTTGTACTCAAGAATCATCTAGTTCAACTGATTCTAGTACTTCTGAGTCATCCACTGTTGATTCTTCAACTAATACTACCCCTGACCTATCCTCATCCACTGAATCTTCAACTGAGTCTACCTCTGAATCCACCACCGCCTCCCCACCTACAACCCCTAATGCTGATGGTTGTGATCATGAGACATGCAACATTGATGAATGCAAATTCTACGATAACTATCTAAACTGCCAATGGTTCTGCGAATGTGACAAAGGTGTCGTTACAGTGCATAAATGCGCTGATGGTTTGTACTGGAACGATGATACTCACAACTGTGATTGGGAATCCAACGTCCACTGTCCTTTGGATGGATGCCAAGACTTTGAATGTCATTCTAACATCTGTGACAGGGGTCCAAATACCTTAGATTGCAACTTGTACTGCGACTGTCATCACGGAAACAAAACAGTTGGACATTGCGCACCTGGTCTCTTCTTCAACCCCGATACCAAGCAATGCGATAAGGAGGAAAATGTTCACTGTGGAGGATCTACTGTTGATACTACTACTCCTGTTCCTCCCACTAGTGTCAGCACCACTGAGGTCAGCTCTACTACCCCTGAGTCTACAACTGATGAGCCCAGCACAACTCAGCCACCTACCAGTGAATCTACAACTAAGGCGCCAACTACTCTTCCACCAACAACCCCTTCTGGAGTTAAGACGTGCGACGATATCTGCCCTGATGTTTTCCCAATTGAAGCAAACAACCATCTCTTCCCTGGAGATTGTAAAAAGTTCTGCCACTGCGCTAATGATGGTAACTGGTTGAAGGATTGCCCTCCAGGTCTTGAATTCAACGCTGTTCTTCAAGTCTGCGATTGGCCCTACAACGCTAATTGTGTTCCAACAGTCTAAATTCTCTGACAACAATATTTTTACTTGACCTGGCTATGTACTACTAGTAATATGATATATCAATAAAATTAGAAGCAATTAAAAATATGTTTTTCTACTTCCACTTTAAAACCCAACGTTTTCTACGGTTTTAAGACACAAAAGTAGTACTTTAAGCACGGACGGCCAAAGCCGTGACTAAAGTATTTAATACACTATTTATTTACCAGAAAACAATCTATCAACTATTAACATCTATAAACATCTATTATGTTGTTGTCTGAATACAAAATATATAAAAGAAAGCAATGCTACTAAAGTAGTATCATTGTATGCACTTTGCTATAAACATTTTGACGAGCAACAACAGTTTGTTGCTATCCAGACTGTTTACGATCTTGCAAAGTGCTTGTCCGGGCAGTAAATGCAGAATCACTTTAGAAGTTTCCTGTTTCCATCAGATGTAATAAATTTTAAAATACATTATTTGCATTGAATCAATAAAAGCAGACATAAACTACTATAACAAGAAAATCACTATATGCAACCCATCTACCATTATTGATGCAATAGGTTATATTATGAAAACTATCAAAATATTTGCATTAAAGAAGAATAAAGTAGTAAAATTTGTTAAAAATCAATAACAAAACGCTTAAATCATCAATTAAACATAGTTTTGTATTATATCTTTGTTTAAATTGTGATGTGGTGACTAATAAAACAAAATTTCATCATAATCAAGAATTTAAGATAACCACTGTAATTTCCAGAAATTCCATGAAGCAAAGATGCTATTCGGAAGTGACAATGTTCAAGTATTGTTTGAGGTGTTATAAATAAGTATCAGAATCAATTAATAATAATTATAAGAGTTATACATTATACGCAAAAAGAAAAATTCCTACATTAATCAGATTACTTCCTAATCTATAAAGTAGATAATCGCAACTAGAATTAAAGTTACTAAAAATAGAGCAAATACACACAGTTTGTAGCGATTGATAACGAATTAGGAATTAAAACACTAATCGTTTAATAACTTGCGCCGTCTAATACATTTTTATCAAATTTTTTAATCGCATTTTTCTCGAAATTCGTGTATAATAAATTCTTTGGATTAAAAGATATGGGCTGTAATATATCAAGATGCCGAAAAAATTGTATATAAAGCAATCGTTTTTATACAAAAATCACACAGCATTTGGTGTTTGCTAGTTCCTTGTGTAATCAACAACATAACATAACATAACATAACCAAACATGAAAGGTAAGTTAAAAATAATTCAAAATATAATAATAATTTATTTACTTATCTTTTATTCTCTATTCTAGTTTTTGTCAATATTGCGGCTTTGTGCCTCATGGTGCAATTGGCTTTTGCTGTCCAAGGACCAGTTGCAGAACCAGTCTGTGATGTGGTGTGCCCACCTGACAACCCAATTGTAGAAAACTGGCATCTTCCATACACTGGTCGTTGTGATCTGTTCTGCCACTGTGCAAATGATGGTAATTGGAAGAAGAATTGTCCCCCTGGTCTTCACTTCAATCCAGAACTGCAAGTATGTGACTGGCCTTATGCTGCTGGTTGTACTGAAGAATCCTCAACCGAGGCACCTACAACTAAAGCTCCTACAACTCAATCTCCAACAACCACCGAACCTACAACAACTGAACCTTCAACCACTGAACCTACAACCACCGAACCTACAACAACTGAACCTACAACAACTGAACCTTCTACAACTGAACAACTGAACCTACAACAACTGAACCTACAACAACTGAACCTCCCAAAACAACCGCACCTCCAGAAACCCAGCCACCTACAACCCAAGAACCAACCACACCTGTTCCAATTCCTAATGGTTGCGAGGAAGAAACCTGTCTCGCCCACGAATGCAAAGTTTTCCGCAACTCCAATAACTGCTCAGCTTACTGCGACTGCGATCATGGTGTAATCACCATCAAGTATTGCTCCGACGGTCTTTACTTCAACCCATTAACTGGCAACTGCGATTATGAAGAAAACGTTGAGTGTCCCTTGGATGATGGATGTGAGGACATTGTTTGCAATAAACACGACTGCTTTACGGCCCCAAACACTCAAGACTGCAATTTGTTCTGCGACTGTGACCACGGAAACGTTACAATCGGGAAATGCGCACCAGGTCTTCATTTCAACCCTGCTACTGGGATGTGTGACTTCCCAGAGAATGCAAATTGCGATTTTAATGCAACCACATCAGCCAGACCACCAACTGAGAAACCCACAGAAAAACCTACTGAAATACCAACTGAAAAACCCACTGAGAAACCAACTGAAAAGCCAACTGAGAAACCAACCACACCTTCCAGCTCTGGAGGAGTATGTGATGACCTTTGCCCCAATATCTGGCCCATTGTAGAAAACAACCATTTGGCTGTCCCTGGTGACTGTACCAAGTTCTGCCACTGCGCCAATGATGGTAACTGGTTGAAGGACTGTCCAGAAGGTCTTCACTTCAACCCAACTTTGGAGGTCTGTGATTGGCCCCATTCTGCTGGTTGTGCGTAAATGCCAATTGATAAAAACATGATTCTGTAACATATATTAACCAAATAAATTATAAGCGCATCCCAAAAATGACTTCTGGCGTAATTCTTAGTAGTCCTTCATAATATTCATATTTTCATTGAAATGCAAATCGGTTACGATTGCAAATAATAAACCGCTTTGTGACATCCATCCACGACGGTGGCAGCCAAGCGAGAGGGACGAAATTATGCAAATCGATGATCGGGATGACGAGACTGCCTCGCTGCCGCGCTCGCCTTCTACATTATGCATATATACACCAGACGGAATTATTGCGTCTTCATTGTTATGTGCGTGTCTCTGCTCTGCGCGTCATTACGCCCGCCTCCCGCCTCGTGTGCGTCCTTACAATCGAGGGCAAAGTACGCTTTTCCGATCCGTTGCACTCGGCGAATACTTACTTTTCAATTTCCACTTCAACACATCGGAAAACTTTTCAATCACATAATCGATAGACTCTGTGTGCACAAAAACGCAGGAGTGGGGGGGGAATCAACTCACAGACGCATGGAAAACATGCAATCATGCAGATTATAAGGTTTATAAATTAGCTTAATAAGTAAACACATAAATAAACGTTTTATTTATTTTATTTTTTTCTGTTTTGTTTTGTTTTGTGTGGATTTCCGGAATCAAAGTAATAATAATAATAAGTTATGGATGGCTATTTGTTGGTTTGCTAAACATCGTCGGTCGAAATAAATTCGCATTTCGTTTGCGGTGTCGGCTTTTCGGCGACCGGCAAATCCTGAAAATATATATCAAGGCGGCCGGGCCACGACGCCATTCGCCAGCAGTAAAATAACTATAATTTAAGGGTCATTTGGGGACGTCACCGGCGGATTTTCTTCCCGGAACGTAAAATACCAATCGATTGCACGGCTTAGACGGCTCGCATGGAATATTTCCTTATCTCATATCTTATCAGCGACAACCAATTTACGGTCACTTTTATTACGCATCTATATGTCTAATAATAATAATAATGTAAATATAGGTGGGTTACCAAAAACCGGCAGATAATTTATTTGCGTCGTTTGTATCGTCGGTTTTTGGCAAGTGTCTTACGAGTCATTCGGGAGCAATATAATTGGCCATAAACTGCCGCAAGTCGAAAGCTTTGTCTTGCAACTCGAGCATCCCACATTCAAATCAGGGATTTCGCTTCGAAAATTCCCCACACGTAATGTATTTGCATCTGCGTGTTATCAACATAACAATAAAATATTCCCCAAACGCCTGATGCGAATTTTTTGTGTTTTTTGTGTTAAAAACGTCTCCGGAGATAAATGTTCGGAAAAAATTTATTAAACTTAATTAACCGAGCAGATTTCGAGTATTAAGTGTGTAAAAATGTGCCCGGCGCGTGTGAATGTATGTTCGAATGCAATTAATTAGCTTTTTGTTGCCGCGCTGGGCGCAAAAGAGCGTCGCAATTGTAAATTATGAATGGCAGCCGGGCGATGCAAATGGAAGATGAAAGTAATCTGCGTCGCGCTCCATCTTGCGAAGCGGAATATTCGTCCACAATTTCTGGTTTCCATTAACTCGCAAACGCGCCACCTTGTAAATCTTAGCCCTGCGTTGCTGGCGCTTTTTTCGAAAGCTCAACGCGTCTGTGTTTCCAGCTGTAGAGCGTGGAAAATTTGCTTCTTGGTGTTGAATTATTTTCGCCTCGCAGTCGGGCTTTATTCTCGGAATGACTTTTTCTTATTATTCGCACGTCTCGTAAAGTTGTCCTACAGCATTCCACGTTTAAGTTTATTTTATGCCAATTTATAAAAATTTAACTCATGTGTTGATTTATATTTAATTCGGCAACATTTAAATGTTTGTTTCTCATTAAATGTGTTTTTTTGTAATTAATTTAAGTGATTGCGAAAGCTTTAGGTGCAGGATGTTTCCTGTCGCGTTAAAATACTTGCTGTAATTTAATTATAAAGTGAAAGGGGTTTCGAAAAAAGTTGAAAAGTTGACTCGAGCAGTCGCTTTTAGTCACTTAATTTCTTAATGAACGTTTTACGCCCAGCGAAAATCTTTCGCTTGTAAATTGTGTTAGAGATAAAAATTTCAACGTCACGATAAATGATGTATGAGTTGGGGAATATTTTTTCGTGTGCTTCTTATATTGATGAATGATTGAGATATCGCAATATAAGCAATAAGTAAACCATTAGCAGTGGAGTGTTTTTTTGTTTACAAGTGTCAGTTGTCTATGAGTATAATCAAAAAGCTTTCAGAAAAAAATAACAAAATATTATATTAAGTATCAAGTGGCTAAACGGGGATTTTACTCACGAGTTTGATTGTGAGCGAGCGTATAACAACAGGCGCTAGCTCCGCCCCGTAGATAATGAATTTTAGTCATGGCTTGGCCGTCCGTTTATAAAGTACCACTTTTTATGTAAAAATATCGTGAAAAACTGACGAGGAAGTAAAAAATTTATTTTTTACTTTTTCTACTCAATTATTGTTAAAATACACATAAAATTAGCTATAATAAATACTTGAAGATAAATTACACAGGATAAAATATATTTTAAACACAGACAAAGTAGAAGTTAACGATGCATGTCGAAGTAGCATGAGCACAATCTTCATTACTTACTTTTGTCTTCTTTAGAAATTTTATTCCTTCTTTTTTTAATACAATTTCTCAATGTTTATATTCTGTTGATTTAAGAAACTCTTCCCGGGAAAAACTGCTATCTCAACTACTCTCTCAAAAATACACTTTCCTAACAATTCTCTTTATATTAAACTTTGCCAAGACATTCCGCGAGTCCTATTTCCGCAAGCGAAGTGAATTTAAAATGCAAGCGCTCTAAAAATAAAACAATCGAATAAAAAAGCCATATATACAAGTGTCACAAACATGCACACAATTTATTTCTTATAACCGAAAATACGCGCACTGAAATTCCCTCGATTAATCAATCATAATAACAGTGTAATTATTGTAATAGTAAACTTACTCGACGCTCATCACTTTCGATTACGCTCTGAATTCATCATTAGCTTTCACTAATTACACCGCGCTGGCTTTGTGCTTGCTACGTGAACCGAACCGTGAACCATAAACTGAATATATAAATTAAATTCGAAGTTTACGTAATAGTAACACTAGCATGTTCCTTACTATGTAAGTTTTCATTATGTGGAGGCGCCGGGCAATGTGATAAATTAATAGCAAATTGGAAATTGTAAACACATAATATAATAATACTAGTAAATCAATTGCATCATTTATTTATTTTGTCATAAATATAAAGAGTCGTACAGTTCTACAGACAATAGTTACAATGTTTTTCCCCACAAATTTCAAATTTTTCAATATATATTTTGCTTACAGCTACAGAATAAAATTACGTTTACATTTAGTTGCCGTTTTATCATTTAATAGTTTTACATGTACACTAAAAGTATTCTCTATGCATCACGTCATTGGAAAAGTATAGGCCTACCCTGTGGTTGTATTTATGTTAAATTTTTTGTTTCCTTTGCGTAGATTTAGATTTTTATATAGAATATTCTTGTATGTTACATTTAGAACATTGAATGAATGTTACTTACACAAGTATACGTTGTTTTCATGCTTTATATCATAAATTTTATGTACGCAATCATATTATCTCTATGATTATATATTTAAAATATAATTGAAAGTAAAATCATAGTTTCGGATTGTCTCAGTCTTAAAATATTAGAATATAGAAAAAAGTTTTGATTTTATTTTTTTTAGTGGAATAAAGTAACTCCCTGTATATATTTTGTGTTGAAAGCAATGCGTATCGTTTATTAAATCAGTTAATTGGCAAAAAGATGATCTCCGCATGGGAAAGCACGTATAAAGCGTCAATAAAGCGGAAATATCGACATCAATAAATGATTCTGCAGCTGCGCGGAAATGACTTTTAATCTGCACAGGATCAAATAAATATTATTTAACAATGAGCATAAAATGAGTATTGATTGTATGTGCTATTGTATAATCGGACGGAGTTTAAAAACCAACAGAAATCGGAGAAATGCGCGAATTTTATCGTTATTTACATAGAAAAATAGAAGTTTACATGTTTATGTTTAGTTTTATCAAGAGTACTTAAAATACGAGTTTGTATGACTAGAATAGACATTTTCATTCATCTATACATGATATTAGGACATATATCTTATATTTTTATATATTTTATGTTTTTATTTACAATTTACACTTTTAAAAACCCCAAAATGAAAGAAATAAAAAAATTAAGCCGAAAATTATGTTTGGAAATGAAATATACACTAAAAAGTAAAAATAACAGTATAAACCTCTTTAAGTCGTCGACACTGTTGCTAGCAAAACAGGCGCATAATATAATATTTCATCCTATGCCATGAATACGAATTTATAAGGAGTTTTGGCTTGTTCAATGAAGTTTACATATTGTTACGGCTTAGCACGAGCAGCGAGAATCTCCACGCTAATGATGAAACATTGAAGTGCTCAGAAACTGCTTCATTTAGCAAAATTATTACACATAAAAAAGGCGATAAAGTGAATAAATCATTCGGGTTGTCATCCGGCGAGAAATATGCTCGGATATTGTACTTATAAGCAAAAAATCGGACAAGAACTTATAATTAATGACGGTTCTGATAGCAATCATGATGATAAATTTAATTTATATTAAACTACGTTAAAATTATCAGTATAATCTTTAAAAAAATAAAAATAAATTAAATATTTGATTTTTTGATTTGGTGGAGGCGCCGATTAAAATATTTTCATGTTTGCATTGTGATATCGTGATATGAATATTAATATGAGATTTATACATATATGTGTATGTCCATCAGGATTTACGAGAATGAAAAAAAAAAATCAAAAAATCATAAAAAAAAGTTTTATTTCGATATAAACACAGTTTTGATATTTGGAAAATTGTTGCGCGTTTTTTTTTCTCTCATCTCTTTGGTACAAATAAAACACACGTACACGAAGCACTATTTAACCACTGAACACTTATCGAAATTGCGTTAGAAATGTTCTCCACCGAAAAAAAAGTTTTCTTCGTATTCTCGCCACGCAGCGCTGTGCAATTTATACCCTTGTGTAAACAGATATATTGCTTGGCGTCAAGTCTAAATTTATTGCTTTGTCGCGATCAGTCTCGTCACAATTGTCACATTGATTTAAACATCAGCATCATCACAGAAACGACTCATGCGCCGCATTCATATCAGGTGGTTTTAATTGTTCACCCTCCGCTTCGATATACTCAACGCCCTCGTCATAATCATGACAGCGATTGCTGATGTGATGATCCGGATCACCATACTGACTATGATAGAACTCTTCGCGCATCATGTGATTCAAACTGCCGCAACGAAAGTAGAGTATTTCTTGGAACGGCTTGCGAAAGTCACGGTTGAGTGTCGCGTAGATGATTGGATTCAGCAGACTGTTGGCGTAGCCCAGCCAGAGGAAGAAACTGGACAGCGTGTCCATGGTCTGTGAGGATTCGAGAAATGGTCGGATGAGTGCTAGCACAAAGAATGGCAGCCAGCAGATGGTGAATGCGCTCATTATAATCCCGAGTGTCGTGCTCGCTTTGCGTTCCTTGGCGAGCTGAAAACGCAGCTTCTTCTGGTTGGAACTGGTCGTGCTCGGCGAGGTCTTCATCGTGAGCAGATTGGATTTAGTCTTGCCATGTTTCGGCTTCTGTTTCTGTTTGAGCGAGGTGGTGGTTTTGCTGTTCAGCGCTGGTAATTTTGACGTTAACATCGGGCATTGTGATTCGTTGCTACGTCGTGATGCAAAACACCGACCGAATGTGGATTTTTCTATGCTGCACTATAACACAAACAAAACAGAAAAATTAAACACAATAAAAACAAATTTTAATTTTTTTTAGTAAAAATGCATTTATAATGCACGAAAATATTTATTTTAGTTTTTGTTATCCTATTGTCGTCCTAGTTGAGTTTGTGTTTTATTTTCATCAGGTACGCTAAAAGCAAACGCGTGTTTGCATTTTTTATGGCTGTAAATTACAGTTTCTTACACGAATGTCCTTTTAAGAGAGATATAAATAGATATTTTAATTAAAGCTATTATTTCCAAAACTATATTACCCAGATATTATATACACTCTACAAGCGTATGGAATGTGAAATATGAAATTTAATTTTTGGCCGCGCGGGTAATGTTTTGATGGCGTGGTAAGGATTTATTAAGGGCAAAGGGAAATGATTGCGCCGCGTAGTGGAGGCGCCGGGCATTCACGTGCCGCTGGCTATTAGTGACGAAAACGAACAACGGACCCGTGACCGTCGGCTAGTTATAAGTAAATGAATGCATAATCATGTCAAAAATACAATGGCAAGTTAATTATTCAGAGTGCTGCAGAAATATTTTTCTCAAAAATAATTTTTCGGCCAAAAATCTCTGATTTATTGAATAGTCATTAGTAATGCGGAGTTAAAAATAACATGAATGGATTTTCTATACACTCATTCATTGCTTGTCAAGAGTTTTGGCATCGTATAGATTCTCGTCATCGACTTTCAATTGGCAGCGCGGTTGAAAAAGCTAAATATAACTTTCCATTGAGAAAATTATTTGTGCGCGTCCGGTCCAATCATAAATTTTAAATTTTGCGTACGTGGAGCCTTCTAGTTTTCAACTTTCGACACAAAAGGTTAAATGCAAACAAACCCTTGTTGCGGTTGTGATCCGGGACGATCATTTACGAAAGCGCATAAATTCATTATGATCAATGGACGCAGCAAGAAGCCAACCGTGAAAAGCTTGGTCAAAAGCTTTCCCAGAAGTCGTCGCATTAATCATTCATTAAACCGGCTTCAAGCGGTCAAATTAAAGCTAAACAAGAATTATTTCGGCAAACGATCACCCGCTTTACAATATTATATCAACAGGTTGGAAAATATTCACGTATTTCATCACAATTCCGACTTGTTTTGAAAATATTTCTTAAAAAAATATTTTCATGCTTGTTAGGTTAGGTTAGGTTAGGTTAGGTTAGGTTAGGTTAGGTTAGGTTAGGTTAGGTTAGGTTAGGTTAGGTTAGGTTAAGTTAAGTTAGGTTAAGTTAAGTTAAGTTAGATTAGGTTAGGTTAGGTTAGATAAGGTTAGGACTTGTTTTGAAAATATTTCTTAAAAAATTATTTTCATGCTTGTTTTGAGGTTATATTTAAATACACACTATGACATCAAGTCAAAAGCCAAGTGTAATTTCCCAAGAACTCATTTCGAGTAAAATTTTATTGCACGGCAGGTCGTTACGCTGGCGGTTATTAAATTTTAATCTTAATTTGGAAACGGATAAATTGCAAAACACGACTGCAGAGCAAGAGTCGGAAAGTTTTCATCATGCGAGCGTCGAGCGCGCGTTTTTGAAATATTTACCGTCGTGTTCGTGCTGGCAGTGCTGGATCTGTGATTACCCTTAATTGGATTCGCCGGCGAGGGCGACTGGCTGGAGATCTTGTTCTCCGGCGGGCCGTCGCCGTTCTTGACGCTGATCTCCAGATAGCAATGCGATTCAAGATGGCTCTGCGCACGCTTCTCATCCATCACGATTTTCCGCGCAGCGCTGAAGATCTTATAGTAAACGACGAGCATAATCGCCAGCGGAATGTAGAAACTACACAGTGTGGCATACAGTTGATAGCCAAACGATTGACACACCAAACAAATCATCTTCATTTGTCCATCTTCCTCCACATCCGCCTTGAATTCATTCCCGAGGATTAACAACGGCGGAAGTGAGATACACGCCGCACCAAACCAGACGAGGAAAACACAGAGTATCATCCGTTTCGGGGTGCGTTTGACTCCATATTCAAGCGGTTTTGTAATGGCGTAGTACCGATCAACACTGATCATACACAGATTGAGGATTGACGCCGTACAACTGAGGACATCGAAGCTCACCCAGAGGTTACACGTAATCTCACCAAAGATCCATTCGCCATTGATTTCGTACATCATCGCCATTGGCATTACAAGTGTCGCAACACACAAGTCACTCACGGCTAAGCTCACTAGCAGATAATTACAGGGTCGGCGTAATTTGCGCACCAAACAAACGGCGACGCACACGAGAATATTACCGACAATCGTACCGAAGATGACGACGATTAGTATCAGCGAGATGACGATTGTTTGGATGTGCGTGTAGATCTGAGTCTCTTCGATTATGAACGTGTTGTTCGTCGTCGTCTGATTGGTCGCGTTCGTTGCGGTGTAATTCGACGCCATACGAAAGCGGGATGCGCACGTTTTTTTTGGTAAAGTCGTCCACGCACGCGCACTCACACTAAGTCATGTTTGTTAGTTGTTCACATGATGCCGGCGGCGTGAGCTTTGAGCTTGCCGGCTTTACAAATTAGCTGCCGTCTTGTGCTCATGTCGTCGGTGGGTTAATGGATATCGGATCGATCTGGAAACAGAAAGAAAGCACTTTAGTTACACCAGCGACCAGACGACAATCAATCAATCAATGTTGTAGCTGTGTAAACATAACCTCACAAAAGCTACGGTATTTAAATGTATAAAATGTATTAAAATGTACAAAATTCTGTGTGTTTTTGGTTTGGATTTTGTAGTTAAATAGAAAAATACATAAAAAGGTTGGAAATAATAGATCGCTAGTTAACAATAGCATTACATCATTGAGACGACAAACGCAGGAACCCTTTAGATGCTTTAGACTCTTTAGACTCTTTTAAGAGTATCCAGTTCCTTCGCATTTCCTTTCAGTCCGTGTGTTTTGTTCGTTTTTTGTGTGTGTGTGTGTGTCCGCGCGTTTGGTTCGAACATTTTTACATTGTCGCCCTTTTGCAGGCGAGCTTTCAGGAACGCTCTTTCATTATTTTATACTTTTTCTCATTTTCGTCACCGCTTGCCACCTACGGCCGCTCAATCGTTGGTTGCTTCATTGAAGCGAAAGTTTTAATTTAATACGCGACGCTTGGAAAAAACTTTTTTAATAATGACAGCACTGCAAGCTTTTACATTAAGCCTCGTGCTTTCTTTTTAACTCGACAAATTTAATTTTGTTTACAAAATATTTTTAAATTGTCTTTTTGCTGGAACTTTTAATGCTTTGAAAACTACTCTAATGTTGTCAGCTGACATAATTTTATCTGGAATAGTATTTTAAATATCAAGTGCGCTAAGTGGCACTTTAGTCACGTTTAGTGTGATGCTTACGCTATTTTTTCTACTTTATGTCCAAGTTTAGTTTTTGTGTGGAAACTTTTTATTCTAAAACTTCAAAATTCGCAAACTCCACCCCGTGACTAAAACCCGTGACTAAAGTACTTTATCCACTACTTTAGTCATCCCTGATTAAAATACCACTTTTCCTAAAAAACTATTTTTTCCTAAATAAATTTTTTGATGTTTTGACACCGCCAATTTCATTTATTATTTCTGCAATATCCAACAGATAAATGTAGCTTGTAGGAAAATGTAAATATGTCCTGGTTAGCTGACTGCAAATGCCACATATGATGTCGACCGCAGAAACAGGACCACCAACAGCTGCGCCTCACGTCCGCGGCCAGAAACGGCACAAATTCACAACAAACAAGCGCGCTTCAATGATCATTCGCATTCGTATTGGTGCGTTGTCATGTCAGCGCAAAACAATACATTATTAAACGGCGAATATTCGGCGTCGTCTTTGTCCTCCGCCTAAATTAATTCCACACGCAAACTATTCAAAATTTGTCCGGCATAATATCAACTCGAATTATCCTCACATATCGCTTTAATGAGGATTAATTATTTATATGCTCTTCGTTCATTTGTTTGAATTAAAACTGATTTATTAATATAGAGTGCCTTGGTTATCAAAAATTTGACTTTTACCAAAAATAAATCAAAATATAAAAAATGTCGACGCAGCGTCAATCGTATAGTATCCGTATTAATCCTTCGAGGATAATTCATAAAAACCGACTTGATTTGAGTAAACAAATCTATACAGAGGATTTCGATGAAGAAACTTCAATTTTTAGAAAATTGTGTTTAGTGCCCTTTGAGCCTATCTGGTATTACTTTGTGATTATCCTTGGGCTAATCAATAGTCTTGTCGCGATGCTAAACTGCATGAATGTGGTTTCCGGAGAGCCTGATCAAAGAATTTCAAGTAAGTCACAAAAAAATTAAAAAAAAATTTTTTTTCTTTTAACATTTTAGAAATTTTTTACTTTTGTGACATTGTATGGTGCCTCAACACATCCCTGTTAATCTGTGTAATGTTTGTGCGTAATTTAAAAACCGCGCAGATAAAATTACCAACGCGAAGAATGTGGTGGTTGTTTCTGGACTACGTCAGTATAATCCCTGTGGAACTCTTTGTCCCAACCGGAATGCAAGCCTACGTCGCGCTGAACAAAACACTCAAAATTGTCTACATCATGTACGTGTTTCGCTTTGTCAACTCGATGCTCGAGTCGAAGATAGTCATCCGCGTCTTTCAGCTGATATGCCAACTCTTGTACTTCATCACGCTCGTGTCGCTGATCTTCACCGTGATATTATACAAGTACGACACGAATCCGCAACGACATCGCATCAATGAAATCTTTTACATTGTCTCGGATCACATGACTGGCAAGGGTTTTGGTCAGATGGCAATGGAACATTATTACAACAAATCCCTATTGATTTTAAGCACACTAGCGTTATTCGTTGGTGTGTTATTGATCGCCACAGCAAACGTGACGTTTTTATTCTTTATGGCGTCATCGGAAAAGACACAATTTCGTTATAGATTCAATTGTTTAATAGACCACATTAAACGCAGGAAATTCCAACCGAATTTTATAAATTGTTTCGAGATATTGTTTGATACTTTATGGACTAATGCAAGGGGAATAGAAAAATCAATCGGTGGACGTAGAAAGAAAAAAGTTGAAGAAAAATTTGGAAAATCAAAGATTTTATCTCGGACCTTTTTCGCTGAGATTACCATTGATATGTGTACGGGGATATTTAAGCATTCCATACTCTTGAGTCAATTACCAGTGGCGTTCCTGCGCGACCTTTCCGCGTACGTCGTTTACGAAGTGTACGTGCAGCATCAGCTCATTTGCAAATTGGACGAATTGAAGGATAAGATGATTTACATTCACAAGGGTGTCGTCGAGATCATTTCGGACGAGGACGGCGAAACGCCAGTGATGAAATTAACAGCGGGCACATGCTTCTCGGAGGTTTGCCTCTTTGTCCCCTACAGGAGTAATTGCCTTGTGCGCTGTGCTTCCACCTGCATCTTTCACATCCTCCACAGGAACGATTTTATTCGCATGGTATGCAAATATCCACAGATCCATCGTACTCTACGCTATGACATCGAGGAGCGTTTGAATGAAGGGCGTACATTGAAGAAAATACAGGATATTTACAATAAACGCGCGGATCAGATACAGAAATGTCCGAATTTGTGTTGGCTGGTATATGTGTTGCATAAGATGATCGCCATTGAGCATACGCATGTTGCCGCACAGCATAGTCTTGGTAATATGTTACTGGAAAGGTTTATTAATGAAGAAAGGTTTAAAAATCATATTTTTTCACCGGTTTATTTAACGTTATATGCCGTACCAGAAGAACACCAGGATTATAATGATACTTTGTTTGCAAAATCAACGTTTCCGTATGTTTTGAAACCGGACACAGGTCTAACCTTATTCTGGGAGATACTCATTGCTACGTTGGCGCTGGCAGCGGGATTATTAATACCTTATTATGCTTTTACTCATCAAAGTTACAACTTGAAGAATGTGGATAATGTGGTTTACTTTTTTACAACCGTCTGGTTTGTGGACCTTATAATTCAACTCAGGATATCAATAGTTTATGAAAGAAAGTTTGTTTCTGGGTTTTTGGATATCCTCATTATGAAACTAACAAGTATTGTCTTCCTATTGGATATCGCATCGCTTATTCCAGTGGAGATGTTCAGCGGTGTTTTTGTGACTGAAAGTAATCGAAATTACGTCTATATGAATCGTATTCTGAAGTTGGCACGTGTAATACGTTTACTGCTGCGCTGGGAAGGACGTTACAATAGCAACCCGTTGATTGTGCGCTTTGTATGCGCCATCTTGTTTATCATCTACAGCGTCTTCATATTCTCCTGTGTGTATTACTACATTGGATATCGCGAGGATGGCGGTGCGAAACAATTTGAGATTTTGCTCTTCTACACGTCACAAATGCTTACTGGTGTCTCTGTTTGGGTGGAGGGTTATTCTGGTTATCGCAAATATCATCTGGTTAACATTGGTATGTATTTGATCATCTGTACGGTTTACTCCGTGTTGTACGGCATGATATTCTCAGCGCGCGCTTCGGTGCAGTTGAATGTGTTGCGCATTAAACACAATACGAAAGCTCTTATTCAAGCTGCGGTTAGTATGGATCCACGTTATGAATCTTATATCCATGATACCATGCACGACATGATCACAATCGATAATGGGTTTACATTATTGGCGCCTTGGTATTTGTACGACTTGATGCCGATGGAGTTTTTAGGTTATCTCTATGAGACTACTTATAGGAAGTCGATTGAAGAGTTGCCTATATTTGCGGGTATACCACCAATTATACTGAAGAAAATATTTGAGGAAGCAGCGTATATTCGTGAGTACATGGCGCATGAAGTGATTTTTCATGTTGGGGATATCCTGGGGGATTTGATGATATTGGTTAATGGATGTTGTGAGGTTATATCCGGTGTTAGTCTGAACTCCAGAATGGAGCAAGCTGTTTATGAGTTAAACAGTGTGGAAATAGCTCTTATACTTCCAATGAGAACCACTGTTTGCACTTTAACACATTGCCGTACCTTGTGTATTAGGTACCAGGTTATGAGAAGAGTGTTGTATACGCATGCGTCACCTAAGTCCACTGTACGTGGGCAATTATCAGGTATGCGTGATTTACGTGCTAAGATACAACACGCGCAGGTTCAATATTTCAACCAGGATCTTTTGGATAAACGTAGAATGGAGACATCTATGCAACCCCATGTATTTTTTGGTCGTACCAATCCAGCATACATAGCAGCATATAAAAAATCTGGTATGTCTAAAATGCGATGGATGTTCATGAACATGTCATTTTGCCCAAATGGTGAATTTTTGGAAATGTGGGAGATAGCCAGATGTGTCTGTGCTGTCCTATCAGCATTATTCTTTACAACCATCACATTTTGTTTCTACAAGGTACCACACCCAGTTGGGATCATAAAATGGACTCTGGAGGTTATGGCAGCCATTGATATCTACATCAGGTTACATGTGGCTTATTACAATGAAGAAGGTGCCCTGGTGACACACCCTAGCAAGACCATCATATACTATGTAAAACATGGTCTTTTGGTTGATATCATAGGGGCCTTACCATTACACATAGCTATCATAAAAACAGAGTACGCCATTTTGAATGTCAACAAGATATTACAACTCCATAGATATTTCGCATTCCTAAGGTATAAAAAGCAGAATAGTGTGGTACCCCGTCACAAGTTGTATATATTTGCTGAGTTACCAGCTCTGTTGGTGTGGATCAATATTATAGCAAGTCTCTTACTCCTGTTGAATTGTAAGATTGATATGAGTGACCCTTATTCACCTACAGTTGAATGTGAACAAGGAGGTATCTTTGGGTTCAATAGTGATTCCAATGTTCGAGATCCCAATATAGCCCATGTTCATGCTATCTATATAGTCCTAAGCATCATATCAAAGATAGCAGTTCAAGGGTTTAAGGTGACAGGTCGTAGGAATATGGTGTTTGTATCTATGATGGCTTTCTTTGGTTTTTGTTTTGATGTCATCAACGCAGCAAGGGTTTTCGGATACTTTATCCATGAATACGTGGAAACCATGCATAATGATCTCCGGTTACGTTTGTTGAAGAGTTTTGTGATGAATAAAGAACGTGATTCTTCCACAACAAGTATAGATCTCTATCACAGGGCAGAAACACATATAAAACGTATCTGGAGCATGGATAGGAATAATGTCCATAAACATTGTGAGGGTATACCAGAAAATTTACGCAGGGATATTTTGTATGTGAAATTTGCACACGTGTTAAACGTATCTTGTTTGAATGCAGTACATGGAATAAAACCTTTTGTGAGGAATTTATTAACCAAGTCGGAGTATAGAATATTCGAAGCTGATGATATAGTCCAGATGGAGAATGATATCTGTAAATATACTATTATCATCTATAGTGGTCTGGTTTGTATTGATCCAAGTTTCGAGGAAGATAATCAATGTATAAAGAAGACCTGCATCTCCTTGGGACCTGGGTCTATTATTGGAAACCTATGTCCTTTGCAATACAACAGATTGAAGGTTAATATGGTAGCCCTTGGGGTTCTGGAGTTGTTGTATATAAAACCAACACTTTCTTTGAAATTCTCCAACATTTTCCACAATGTCAAGAGACTTTCAGTGACCTACGAAGGGTACACCTTACACATGTCCCGGGTACCTCCAATTTTACATACCCTAAACTAGCTAAACGTAAAGGTGGGAAGGATCAATGGAAAATATCAAACTACGTAGGTTTTGCTTTCTTTACTTTGAATGTCCTGAACTTCATGGGAGCATACCTACCACAAATCGTATACTTCCATGATATCATCACTGTTAGAATACAAGATAACCTGTATCATATCACAATGGATGTATGTTATATAGTTGCAATTATCATGGTGTTCTTTCTTCCAATTACTAATGAAAAAGGAGATATGATGTCCCGGAAAGTTATCCTGAGGAAATTCTTTAAACCATGGTTGTTTTATGTATCTCTCCTGGGAGCTGTACCATTTTACGTTTTCATCATACAATTTGATTCTATGATCTCATTCTACAGTATCGCTGCATCTAGAGCCAATGTTCTCCTACGGATCTTTTTCTGTTTTAAAATCATCAACACCTCGTTAAACAGGGTACCCTTATGGATGTTCACATTTAAATACATAATAAACCTGATGATTATCATACTATCAATTGGAGGTACCACAGCCCTGCTAATATTCATCTCAGAAGTAAGCAAAGAAAACATGAGACCCAAAATTGAATTGAAAGCTCTTCTAGACGCACCATCAAATACAAAGTATGAACACATGGTGACCTACCTCTACATTGTCAGCAATATGTTTACACACACTTCCCAAGCTTTCTACCACCCAGTTGGTCTTATCTACATTGTAGTGTTTATAATCATGATGTCCATGGTCATGGTATACAACACTGTCATATACTCAACAGTGGTATCAATGGTCCAAGCCCTTCAACAACTCAAGTTGGATTACCTCACTGAGAAGAAACAAATCGAAGCTTTCATGAAACGCAGTGACACTTCGTCAATCCTCTATGACCGTTTGAATTTCTACTGTAAAATGACCTGGGATAAACGCAAAGGATTCAAAATCCCACAATTATTCCTTGACCTCCCTGCATATCTCCGAGAACCAATGTCAAGGGATTTATTCGGAAGGATTTTAGACAATCATGAGTTTTTTGAACAGATACACTACGACCTCAAGAGACAGATCTATACAAAATTAAAGTTGGAATACTACTATCATGGTGATTTTATTATCTACGATGGGACCATTGATGATACAATGTACTTTGTCCACAAGGGTATTGTTGTATCCTTGGTGGATGGAAGCAGTGAAGTGCAGCATACATTTGTCGCCGGCGACTCGTTTGCACTGATGCAAGGCATCACCGAGAATCTTCCGCACGATTTATCTTATCGGGTTGTCTGTGATAGCGTCATCTTGTCGCTGGCGAAACAAGACTGGGAGTACATGCTGCATTTTTTCCCGGCGAGTAAGAAGATTATTTCGTTGGTGGCGAAATCTATATTCATGCGACCATCGGAGTGATTCAAGGTTTTAATCCGGAATGGGTTCATTACATTAAATCCAGCGATGAATAATGTATTAGGAATAATTGATTATGTGCCAATCAAATTGTTTTCATGGGATTCCACGCATGAGGAGCGGATTTATATTTATTATCTTGCGTGGGTAGACAATAGAGGGTTGAATAATAATGTTTTCGAAAATAAACACAATAACAGAGTTATTTTGGGTTGTGAATTAATTAAAATGTTGGCTGGATGCGATTTTAAAGCTAAATTTAACTGCACTTGCCTTCAAGAAGTGTAATGTATGTGGTTTATTGATTTTGTGGGTTGGGGGTTGTAAGTACTATTTTTGCCAAGCGTAACCTTCGATGAATAAGCAGTGCAGTGCATTGCAGTGCGAATGGAAGCGAATAATCAATTTGACGTGCACAGGAAGGGAAAATATTTCAATTTGGAACTTTTCGAATGCATTGGGGAAATAAAATGTTTGCTTGTATTTAATTTGGCGACAAACATCCAAGTGCCTAAACATACAAAACGTCATATTTGATTGTGAATTGCTTGTGGTTGCAATATACTCCCACGAGACGCTTTTGTTTTGCTTTTGTCAACAGAATGTGTGAATTTTTCACATGGAATAAATATTTGCACAGATTGTTATTCAATTCCAAACAAATTCGAAAAATTTTAAATCAAATATGCAAAAAATTCCATTTCCACGTTTCAATAAACTTCTCATATCAATTAATCATTTTATCATGCCCACAATAAAATTTAAAATGTTTATTCGTCATAAAATCCTTCTGGAAACTCTAAAACTGCCAATTTTACAACAATAAAAATTATTTTATGTCCCACAATTAACCTAGATAAATAAATAATTGATTTCATTGCATTTTCGTTGATTGTCTTATTCAGCAGATGAAATAAACTTTAAATTATTCAGAAAGTCTCCTATTGAAGCTTTTAAGCTTTTGTCCTTTTGTCCTTTGACCTGATACTTACTTAACTTAACTAAATAACAGCTAAAATGCGACTTAATAGAAAAAAAGAGTGCAGTAAGCAAAACCAAGACATCCCAACATCTTTCAAACAAGCCGCGCGATGCTTTCGATGCTTGCAGCGACGACGTCGATGGCATTATGTCTACAAAGAAAATTGAATTGAAGCGCACCGCGTGAATCTCGTGCATCCTTTCATCTTGTACACTTTTGATGTGATTTTAATTAGCGCACAAAGGGTTTTTGCGTTACGTTCGTTACTTAACACGTTACTCTTTTACTCTTTCTCTTCTCTTCCCAAAAACGGGAGGAGTTTTAGTATGATTAAATTTTCTATTTATAATTACTCATTAATTAATCAAAATTTCATTTTTTGCAATCAGACTAATAAATTACTTGATTACAAAGTTTTGTTGCATTAATATTAGAAATTAGGTGATAAAGGATAAAGTAGACAATATTATAGGTTATGATATGACATAACCTCAATTAAAAACTATTTTTCTTTGCTTCCTTTGATTCTTTGAGTTTTTAATTGTTTTTTCTACTTCCACCTTTAAAATGCTACTTTATCCACAGTTTTGAGATACGAAAAGTGGTACTTTAATCATGGATGGTCAAAACCGTGACTAAAACACTTTACTAGTGACTAAAATACCATTTAGCGCACTTGATACTAAATTTACACAAATTGGCAGCATTCACAACAAAATATTATAAGAAATAAAAAATCAGATGTCAAACATTGAAGTAGACAAAATTATAGGTTACTAGCTTTAACCCGCGGCTTCGCTCGCGAATATCTAAAATAATGAAGTTGCTTCCGTACGCGTCTGTAGTCACAGCAGAAGTAACAATGAAGTAGAATGGCGGGAAGTTTAAAATGGCTGAAAGTATAGTCTATGGAAGTATAGTGTACAGTCTCCATAGTGTAGTCAATTGGATTTGATGTTGGCGTAGCTGTCGGTAATACAGTGTGATAATACAGTGTGATGGTACTATACTACTTAGGTTTGAGCTTCATTGCTGGAATGCTAGATGGCGTTAAAGTAGTCAAATAGCCAGATGCAGAGGTATTATTTGCTAAACAATTTCTTTATTTTATTTAAAAAATAATTAACCATTCGGGGACCACTAAGAATATGTGTACAAATTTTCATGATGATCGGTTAAGTAGTTTTTGCGTGAAAGTGTAACAAACATCAGGGCTTTCGCATTTATAATATTAGTAGCGATAACACACAACATAACCTCATCTAAATGCTAGTTTTCTTTTTCTCATTTTATTTTGTAATTTTTTCAATGTTTTAATAATAATTTGGTCCAAATATTCTTGAATTATAAATACTGCAATCCTGCGGACTTATTCTCCGCACGTATCGTGCTAATCTACCGAAATTCCTTTCATTATTCCCCTTTGTATCCACCAGCCACTTCTAGTAGCCCTTATAAATCCCCCGTAATGTTCCTTTTGTTTCGAGATTTTGCGTGGCGGATGAAATTTAAAAATAACATTACGTGCGTGCGGATTATCTCGCCGTGTGCATCAATGTTATCTGATAAACAACAAATAATCCGCCACCCAACAGCGCAGCGTAACCATTTGGCACTGGATTAAATTACGCTCAATTGGAGCACGTTGTTTGTCGGTTGTTTCACGCTCGCGTGCGATAATTTTCAGCGCCGCAAGCGAAACGAACTAAGGTTGCGGAAGGACAGCGCGATTAATGCGCTGAAAGAACCCGTTTACGACGCGGCGGCGGCGAATAATTCAATTATTGCGACGTTGTATTCACAGCACAAGTTGCATCCTTGGATTTCTTCGCGAAATTAACGACCGACGCTGATTGATAATCGTGATAATGACTTGCGCTTCATAAATTACGAAATTACGCATTAGAATCATTAGTTTGCTAATTTTAGACGTTATACATTTATTTTTAATATAATTCACTGAGCTGCGCGTTGAGGGTTAATTCTACGTTGATGAAGAACTGCACGTAGCAAATATTTAACTCGACGGGACAAAGCTCTCCGGGTGCACGCGTTTTAATCAAAAGCAGATACCAGGACCATGTCCAATTTGCACATACGGGTAATCGAGGCACTGCATCATGCTGCACATTAAACAGCACTATGTGAAGAGTGCTCATACATAACCTAACTTGACATCCACCCAAGCTTTGCATTGTACATTAACTTAATCCACTTTAACTTAATTTCCACGCTACCATCAATAATAGTAAATATTTTGTGGACCTTAAAATGACATAACCTAAATGTAAACGTAAACCGCCATTATGTGACCCGCAAAACAATCCGTGCGCGCAAGTTTCATGCGTTTCAAGCTGAAACTAAACACAACTTTGTACCGAAACTCCAACTCCAAGAGGCAGGAGTTTGTGCAAGTTTAAAATCAACACTCATGACTACATAACCACCTCATAACCTCAAACCTCATCGTCGAGTGATAAATTAGAAAACTGTAAATTTCCGCGAGTGGATTTTATGCAAAGTTGAACTTTAACTGAGCAAAAACTTGTTTGACCATCGCTGTCGACCTTTTTGTTGTGCACACGCTTAATGATAGCGCTAATGAAATTATGTTCAGCAAGTTTAATTAATTCTAACACATGTAGGCAACCAAGTATACATGTATTCATGGAAACTCAATGTTTTACACCATGTTAACTCGATTTTTTTTAATATAAAGTAATAAAGTTTATATTTGTATATTTTTATCTTTGAGCTGATGTAAATGTGTGGAGAATTTAATACAAAGCAGAAAGCTTACATCTAACAATGGATTATTTATTAAAGAAGCAAATGCATTCGGAGCATGCATGATTAATGCGGTGTGGAAGTTGCGACGGCGGCTGTGTAGCAATGTCGGGATGTGCGCCGCCTCCACAGCCGCCGCCACCGCATAAAGAGGGTGTGATGCCTCGGTGTAAGCGACAGCGCACTCGGAAAATATAGTGCAAGTTGGGAAAAGTTCCCGAAAACCGCGCCTCGACGATCCGCCCCGGGGCGCGCACTCAATTTCACTGTGTTCATTGTTTATTTCCACGTTTGATGTGCACCACTACCGGCAACAACAATCACATCAACTATTCTCGACTTGCCATATTAACTAAACGCATAAATTCGTAAAATTTTAATTTAAAAATATTTTCGTAAAAGAGTAATATAAGAGAAATATTTGCTTATGCGTTTATTTCATATTACTCTTCTTTTGAGAATTCATCCAGACAAAAGTTTTACGTTGCAAAACGTCCGGGATATTTATTATTCACTTTTGTTCGCTCCGGTTTTTGCGAATTTTATTAAGTGGAGGCGCCGGGCATCATTGTATAGAATAGATCTTTTTATATTGAATAATATAAATTGTGAGATATACAATTTTTATGCAAAGCTTTTAAAATGAGTTTTCATTATGAAAAAAAAAGTGTGCATAGTTTAGAAGCTTTACGGGTTAATTATGACTTAATTTTTTATGCATAAGCACTCAAGAGATAACCCTTCAGTGAAAACTCGGCGCAAGTTGAGTGAATTTTTAATAAATTTTGTTTCACGTATATTAAGCGGATTTAACAAGGCAATAAAGCTTATAGGTGCTTATAATAAGTGATATCACATAAAACTACCCCTCGATGAGTAAAAATGATTAAAAAAATTAAATTTGGATTAATAATGATTTGATTCATGATAAAATTGAGTTTTATTTGCACATATTTATATAATCGGCGTAGTAATTAAATTTTCTGGTTATAAAGCACTTAGGTGTAAATGGGGGTGCGCTGTCGACCCTTGTCGCGAGGTGTTGATACCTGCGCATATCATATTGCCCGCCGAGCGGGATTTAAGTGCTCGCGACACGCATTACACCTGCGTAATAGGCAAATCAATATTCGGCAATTATTTAATTAATCTGTTTGGACGTCGTTTGTGTGCGGCACGCATGCATGCCACCTACCCCTCAGTCGGTGGTTTATTGAAGCATATGCGACGACATAAATGACATTCATTATAGACATGATTGATTTAGATTTAATTGGATCGATTACTGATGGTAATTTTATTAAGTTGATATTAAATAATAATTAAAAATTTAATTCTTTTATTTTCACTTGTAAAGCGTCACTTTTTTCGAGGTTTTGAGGCATGAAAAGTGCACTTTAATCACGACCATGACTAAAGTACTTTATTCGTGACTATAGAGCTGTTTAGAGCATCCAAATGATATTTTTCGTAAAAGCAAATTTTTCTCACAGGTTGAGACTCAAAAAGTGATACTTACATCACAGACAACCAAAATCGTGACTAAAGTACTTTAGTCACGGGGTGGACCATGCGTCTGCGCATGCGCAAACACTCATCTATTTATAACATTACATTTTCTGGTAGTGGGCGAATAAAATTCGTAATTTTAAAATAAAAAGTTCAAACGTGGTTAAAATGTTGTTTAGCACACTTGTTACTTAATACACCATATTAATAAGTTATTAGGTGTTTGATGATAAATTTCTATGTTATGACATTTGGATGTGATTTGTTATGATTGTTGCAATCATTACCGATTGTTATGTTTGTCGTTAGATGAATAATAAATTACTTCGGGTGTATAAATTTGTTCCACTCGAATGTTGAATGTTGAAGCAAATGTAAATTTTATTGATTACTATTTCTGACAATTCCCCAAACGGAAAAAATCAAGTCGAAACCGGTAATAGGGTAAAATGCGTACATTTGCGTCAACTATTGATTAAGAACTTTTATGTGCACATAATAACGTCAGAAAATCATAATTTATGTTCGTCGTTTGTTGTCGCTCGCACATTTTCCTCCCAACGTAATAAAAATTAAAATATAAACCGATAACTACACAAAGTTGTAACTTATATAAAAGCACTAGTTTTACTCTAAACACTCGAGGCTTGAGCTCTGCGATAATATTTAGCTTTTATTAAAAGGTATTCGCTGGTCGGTTTTTTGTTGACATTAGAAATTTATTTCCACGAGAAACGAGAAATGAGAAGACTCTCTGCCGGCAATAAGTAAAATTTAACGCTGGCGTGCACACACATAAAAATTCGCCGCGCGCCGCTGACAATGCACCCCTAACCACCAACATTGCCGCCTACTGCCGCCACCGCCAACCGCGACGAGTAAGGTAATAACTCTGAAAAATATACGAGTCGCTCAAGTACATCCAATGAATAATTTCCTCGGTCGGCGTAATTATTCTCGCACTTAAATTCGTTACTCTGCGAATAGGCTACAGTCCGACCAACACTCAAATGTCTTTCCATTAGTGACAAGAATATTACTCTCACCGTGGTTAGGTTGAATGTAGGCCAACATTTCTCATAATCAGGTTTTTTCAAGAAAATTTTATTGGATATTGATTGAGGGAAAAACTTGTATTTTTAGTCTTGTCTTAGAAAAAATGAAATATCTTCAAAACTATTTTATGTACCGTTTTGACAAACATATTTTCTGAAAGATAATTTAATTGCGAATCTTTTCAATAAATTATATTTTGATAATATATTAGAAAAAGAAAGTAAAAAAACCAAAATACGTAAAAAATCACAAAAAAAAACTTAAATACTTTTTGTAACTTTTCAGAAAAAACTGCCATATCTTCAAAAATATTAATCGCACGGAACGAACAAATATATTTTCTGAAAGATGATTTAATTGTGATTCTTTTGGATAAAATATGTTTTGATTATATATTGCAGAAACAAACGAAAAAAATCAAAAGTGTCAAAAAATCACAAAATGTTTTTTGTCACTTTTCAGAAAAATTGCAATAACTTTAAAAATATTAATCGCACAGTACTGATAAATACATTTTCTGAAAGATAATTTAATTGTGCATCTTCTTGCTCTAAAATATTTTTAAAATTCAACACAGAAAAAAAGATATTAAATCAAAACTGATAAATTCCTAGGTGGCTATAAATAGCTGCTCGTAATTATGACATTACAACTTATGACATTGACAGGAAGAGAAAAAAATATCCAATTCAATTATTCACCAAGGTTAATGGCTTGAACTCGTAGCAATTGATAAATTATTAATAATTATTTACAGGCACCATTTGCTGAAGTGAACACACCGGTTGCGCTTGGCCGCTTGGCCGCTTTGTTTGGTGCAGCCAAGCAGACGACGATCGATAGGAGTTGAGCTCACATAGGAATTAATAACGAATATAACTTATCGTAGACAAAAGCTGTGACATCAAGGACATTAATAACATCAACAGCTTAATATCACATATCAAATGCCAAAGACTGTAATTATTAGATTATTATTTTTTAAATATATAAATATGAAAAAAAAACTATAAATATTTTTTAATAAAATGATAAAAAAAGAAAAATTTGTTTTAGAGAAAAATTGAGCTTGAAAGTGCATTTTGGTCTTATCAACTTTTTGCAAAAACGTTTCAAGCAATAAAAGTAGGGAATCTCGAGTTTCGCGGAGTTTTGAGGAAGATTCCTCGGTTTAACCATCGATGCTTTCAATGCTTTCAATGTTCACAATGCTCTCAATACTCTCGAGGTAAATATTAGAAAATGCGAAAACAAGGAAAACAAAAATCTTCAACCGGAATAAGGAAATTTCCCGCAACGCAACAGAAAAACGCAAAAACTAATTTTGCATTTCACAAACATTTTTAAATCTACATAATCAAATTATATTTTCATTATTTTCATAATCAAATTACGTTTCTACGAAAAACTAAATTAATTACAAGTTTTTCATAACAAAAATTAAATTCTCTAAAATAACGAGTAAATAGTTGATTAAATAAATGTGTGTTTTTGTTGTTTAAGATTGCAAAATGTAAAACAACGCACTTGTCGCCCGCGGAAATGCAAAACTTCCATCCCGGGCTGTGTGTGAATATTGAAACATTTCGTTCGTGTTTGATGCCAGAAGAGAGAATAAAGGTGAGCGAGTAAAGTTTCTCGGCGCGCGCGTGGCGTTGCATTGAGTACATTGAGTAAGTTGCGAGTCTTTTCAGAATAATGAATACGCATTAGCATGTAAGGCACGAGCGGCATGAAAACGATACACAATGTAATGCCTCTGCGTCTGCCAACAATAACAGCAAGTTTACATAATATTTATACTCGGAATATTTACACTATTTCATTTTTACTCAAGTTCTTTAAATTTTTCCAAAGAAAAAAAATTATTTTTCAAGTTTTTGATGTTTTTTGTTAATTATTTAAATAAATTTTGGCAAATTTTAAAATATTTGGATAATTTTGATATCAGCATAAAGGCGTTTACTCAAATCCTTTAAATTTGACGTTCAAATTTTTTTTTAAAATTTTTTCTCGATTTTTTAACGTTTTTTGTCGATTTTTTGCAAATTATGACAAAACTTGTAATTTTTTCATCTTAACTCCTTGATATTTTAAAAAATAAAAGAAATACGAATCTGAATTTATTTTTCAAACTTCCTAAACGTTTTTTCCCGAGCTAATAAACGAGTTTTTGCAAATGTGGCAAAAATTTCCCAGTGTCTATGTGAAGCGCGTCACTCGCGGGGATGGTTTCATTATCTCCATGCGCGAATAAAAAAATATCATCCACCGCAAACATTCATTCATCCCTACCGCGTGCGTGCTTCTGTGACCGTTTTCATCTGCATGTGCCTCTGGTGGTTTTTTTCAGCTAAACTGTGCGTGGGCGCGCGCTTGATTTACGTCGGCGTCAAAAAACGCTGTTTCTCAACACACAATAAAAACTCATAATTAAAACACACTCCGGTTATTTTTACATTTTGTTATAGAATTTATCAATTGGTTTGTTTTTTTGTCTCTCTATGTGTGTATGTGATCGACGTGTTATCGACTCTTTGCGTGCTTGGTGAAGGATTGAAAGGACAAAAGCGGATCCCGCTGCTGACGTATTTAATCAGCGCGCAACGCGCAGATCAATCCTCTCGAAATTGCACTTGGAAATCCTCAATCGGAGCGGATAATACCGACGACACGTGGAAAATTTCGTTCCAGCCAAGTGTCGATAATGTTAATTAAAGATGTGTCTCGTGAGAGTTTTACGATCGCGCGCGATTTATTTTTATTATTTTCAATCAGTCGACGTTAAGATTTATCGCTTCAACTTACATTAAACTCGCTGCGGTTGATGATCCAATACTCATCCTGCAAACAATAAAATAATGTTTAATTTTTTACGCCAAAAAAAAAGAAACAAAAATAAAAAATCCAATTATTTCCAATTGGAAATAGTTCATGGTGTTCCACTTTGTGTGTTTCTCATGTTTGTACGCTTGTACTCGTCGTCAACCTCTTTAATCACGTTTTGTTGCCGTTCGATTAAGAGACCAACCGGTCTCCTGAGGGACGGCGCGCGTTCACCGCCCGAATCAATCAGGCGCGTGTGTGTGGTCAAGCGGGTATTTGTCCAGCAATCGAAAAACACAAAGACTTATCCGACCTTATCTTCAAAACACAAAAAAGACGGAAAAACTAAAGATATACGCTTGTTTACCACAGAAAGTCAAAAAGTGGAGGCGCCGGGCATTACTATTACAAAACACAAAACTATATAAAATTTAATTAACTAAAATTCATATAAATATAAATAGAACATTACCATTGTTAATTTCGCATTGTAAGGGTGATATTTTAGTTTGTAAACGTGTGGGTGTGACATTAGGACGTGCGTGTCCTGGGATCACACCCTGGGACTCACGTGAGCATTAATCATTGAGTTGGGAGCACACACTTTGCGCACGATTTGTGTATGCAATTAAAATTGCTTGATTAAACATGTTTTATTGCGTCAGAGTGAAATTTCATATGAAATTTCTTGCGCACAACGCGCAATGTAAAATCTGCATCGCAACATGCACGTTTCATGTTACACGTTGTACAATTGTTAAACACTGTGCGCTTCAGTGCTCCGCCAGCGCCGAAAGTGTCCGATGATAATACCCAGCGATATTTGCTTTCGTCGTCGTTCACAACATGTTTGCTGCATGTTATCTGCCGCCCCCACAATAGCGCAAACTGCGTTTCTGGTTTTGTTTCCGACAGCTACGTATCTTATCGCAAAGAGACAAAAATTCGCGTTGTTTTTGCTGCATTTTGAGACTGGAATCGATAGGTTGTTGACTCTCGCAGAGCGTAAATATAAATATAGAATATAAGTAGATTTATTCTATTCACGTACGCGCGATGTATTCATCTTAAAACATCAAGAAGATAATAATTCTAAGACTCGGCAGCACATCTGCGCAACATTGCGTCGCTCTAGATTTAAATTTAACTCTTTCATCTGCTCATGCTTTCAATTTTATGCCAGAGCTTTCGAGAGCTTTCGTCTTGCGCTGATACATTTATGGTAATTCAATCAACGGCAATATTAAATTTTTATATTTGCAGCAATAAAATCTATATTTATTCAAAGCAAATAAAAAATATTAAATATTAAGTTATTTTATAAAGTAAAACATTTTTTACTGCTTTTTATTTAAAAAAACTTAAAAAATTAATTACTTTAAAAACTTACAGTAAACTGTCAAAAACTGATATTTTAAAAGAAATATAAATAAACCTATTCAATATTCACCGTTTTATCTGTTTATTTTCAACTTTATTTCCGTTTTATAAAAATTTTCGAAAAAAAATCATTCCGCTTACAAGCATCTCAATTTCTTTGCTTTGACTTTGATCCTGTAGAAATATTTACTTTATATTATCATTTTCTGTTTGAACTTGTTGCAATTCGCCATCTCCATCGCTCCCCCACGCCACGAATTTAATTTCAACGCAGCTTTCGGAGATTCTATCAATTTGCATTTGTCTAATATGTAATTATTCGCATTATGCCGCAGCAATTCGCAATTAATTCCGGCGCGCGGGTTGAACGACTCGCTTTTAGCCTGCATGCAAATGATTAGAGTACGAGTTGTGTGCGAGTGTGAGTTGCATTAACCTAACATGAATTAGTTTCGGAATGCGTCAGATTTGCCTCTTCTACGTGCAATATGTATATCGGCATGACATAGCATGTGGTAACATATAGTGGATGCGCCGGGCGAGCGTCTACTTACTGCTGAGCAGGCGCATTCGGCCGGAATGTTGCCGACGCCGACGTACCAACTAATTCAAATTGATTTTCGCGTCACTTGCTTTTCTCATTATGATGTGATGACACAATTGTTTATGCATTTGTGTGCGGAGGTTAATTAATAAACTAAATTTTGCTAAAAAAGCGAATTTTTCGCAGGAAAAAAAATCTTTTGTTCGACGTCAGCGTCTAACAACGTCAACAGCATCATCGAGAAAGAGTCATTATTCCCAAACCAATTCTTTTATGATCCGTAAACCTTCGAGCCGGTTATTTCCCCGAGGAGTGAGCTTTTGCTCACGCTTCGATCAACGACATCCCAACACGAACCATTATCGAGGATAATATTAAAGCCAACTTTCATAATTCATTTATGTCCTGTTAATCATTAATTTCAACTTTTTTTCGCAATATAAACCACGAGTTTTCGTGATGCGCATGCGCAGTTGATACCGGCTCATATATTAAACATGGAATTTCCGGCAAATATCCATCAACGTCCTTCTCATTTCGATCCGCATACCAGTCTTTGTAGTGGTGCTTTACTAGGTCTCCGCTATGTAAAATCCGCGGCTTTGCCGAAAGCTTTGCAACGCATTTACCTAACCCGGATGCACGCTTGTAAACATGAAGAAGTGCTGCGTATGCAGTCCAATATATTTACATGCGCTTAGAAAATGCCGCTTTTAAGCTTTCGGGGCCATAAATATTTATGCGATTTATATTAAATCCATGCGTGCGTGACCAATGTATGCGCAGAGCTTTCGTTGCCTCTCGGATCAACTTCAATTAATAACTTTTGAGGTGAAATTTTTCAATTTGTTATTTATGATTATGTTAATAATACGCGCCGCGCGGCGCAAAAAACTTTCCAGATCGATACGGAAAATGGCGATCAAATTAATTAAATTTGTTGCCCGACACGGTGTACATTTATAAACGGCTGCGCGCCGTAATTATGTCCATAAATTGACGTCATAAAAACGTCCACGGCATGTCAACTTAAACGATTAGTTTTTAATTAAAACGAACGCTCGATTTTTTCCACGTCGGCTGCACTTGCAAAAATCATTAGCGCAACAGTGTGGAAGCGCATTATATCCAGCGCAGTGCGCATACGCTAATAATCTCATGTTATAGTTACGGATTTATAAATGTTTGCCTTGCCTGACACGGTATTATATTCAAAACCGGATGTTAGAGCTTTCGGTGTAAGCTCACCAGAAAATACAAAGCATAAAGATTTAATTTTACTTAAGTTTACTTTACTATAGAGGATATAGTAGAAGTTAAAATAGGTTATATTTTTCTCGCGCATGCGCAGTAAAAAAAGTGGGCGGAGATCCCATACATGATTCTACAGTATAAATCTGTTAAAATTATAAATTAACTAAAGCTCAAAACTTTCTCATATTATACTAAAACCAGACCTCAGAGATTTTAGTAAAAGCTCATCTGAAAATACATAGTTTTAATTTAATTTAACTATAAAATTTAGTATAATTTTATAATGTAATTTAAATTAAGTTAATTTTTCTCGCGCATGCGCAATAAAAAAGTAGGCGGAGCTCCCGCACACGATTCCGGAGTTCTAAGCGAGTAAAATAACCAAAAGTGCAAACATGGCACGGCATTATACTCAAAACCGGATGTTAGAGCTTTCGGTGTAAGCTCACCAGAAAATACAAAGCGCGAAGATGCAATTAGATTTAATTTTACGTAAGTTGATTTTACTATAAAATATATAGTCGTGGTTGAAATAGGTTATTTTTTCTTGCGCATGCGCAGTAAAAAAGTGGGCGGAGATCCCATACATGATTATACAGTTTAAATCTGTTAAAATTATAAATTAACTAAAGCTCAAAACTTTCTCATATTATACTAAAACCAGACCTCAGAGCTTTTAGTAAAAGCTCATCTGAAAATACATAGTTTTAATTTAATTTAACTTTACTTTACAATAAAATTTAGTATAATTTTATAATGTAACTTAAATTAAGTTAATTTTTCTCGCGCATGCGCACTAAAAATGTAGGCGGAGCTCCCACACACGATTCCGGAGTTCTAAGCGCGTAAAATAACCAAAAGTGCAAACATCTGTTAACATTATAAATTGAATGTCGCTGAAAACTAAGTCCGCGCTCGAGTAGAGTCAAAGCGTTCAAATATTTAACATCATATCGTATTATGCACTTGCCTTTCAACGTTTCAACTCCGTGGCTCCTTTCAAACTGAATATGAGCTCGTAATTAACGCGTGCTTACACACTACACATTACGAGTTTTAATTAAAACGATATACGACTTCAAAGAAATAAACTTTGGCTGAATGTTTTTGAATGCATACAATGTGTATAATATGCATAAAGCATTGCCTGTTGAGCTTTGATTAATACTTAAAGTTCACTTTACGCACGCAAATTTTGAGAGCGGGAGTTAAAAGTTACAATGGTAATAATAAGCTGAACGAGTTTACGCTTTGTGTTTGCTGCAGTATTCCGTTTGCAGTCAAACGTAGTTTTATATTTTCATCGCTTTTAAGCACCATCAAATCCGCAAACGCACATGGGCTGTAAAAATGTGCGCAAAAAAATAAACGTGGCGAGCGATAAAGGTGTGCGCGCAGATTGTGTGGCGCAAGAATAAAACTGCGATGGTAATAAATCTCCTTCACATTTTATTTCGCTTTAGTACTACTTACGTCCTCTCCGGCGTAGAGAAAAAAATTTCTATGAGGGATAAACGATAAGGGTTTGAGTTAACGGATGAAAAATAGCGGATAACACGAGAAATGTCTAAAAATTGCAGAAATTTACGTGTTTAAAATGACAATTTTACACACTTGTGCAAAAAATGTTATTTATAGGTTAGGTTTTGATAAAAATATAAGATAGCAAAAGAAGAAAATCAAAAAGTTAAAATTAGGGTGTTTAAAATAAGTATTTTAAACACTAGTGCACAAAATTTAACTTTTAGTGGTTTTCACAAAAGTTGAATTATTGGAAGAAAAATATAAGAAAACAAAAAAAAATATTTGAAAAGTTAAAATTTGAGTGTTTAAAATGAGT